ACATATTGCTTCACCTGCACCCAGCAGTGGCGAGCCAGCTTCGCAGAGCCTTGAGGGAAGCGTTGTTAGCATGCACTCAGAGCCTGCAACTCCGAAGAGCGCAGCTTCAGGTGGCAGTGCTCCAGGGCGCAGTGAGGATGCAGCGCACGCAAGGGGTGCAAAAGAGGCATCCCGACATATTGCTTCACCTGCACCCAGCAGTGGCGAGCCAGCTTCGCAGAGCCCGGAGGGAAGCGTTGTTAGCAGGCGCTCAGAGCCTGCAACTCCGAAGAGCGCAGCTTCAGGTGGCGGTGCTCCAGGGCGCAGTGAGGATGCAGCGCACGCGAGGGGTGCAAAAGAGGCATCCCGACATATTGCTTCACCTGCACCCAGCAGTGGCGAGCCAGCTTCGCAGAGCCCTGAGGGAAGCGTTGTTAGCAGGCACTCAGAGCCCGCAACTCCGAAGAGCGCAGCTTCAGGTGGCGGTGCTCCAGGGCGCAGTGAGGATGCAGCGCACGCGAGGGGTGCAAAAGAGGCATCCCGACATATTGCTTCACCTGCACCCAGCAGTGGCGAGCCAGCTTCGCAGAGCCCTGAGGGAAGCGTTGTTAGCAGGCGCTCAGAGCCTGCAACTCCGAACGCAGCTTCAGGTGGCGGTGCAGGGCGCAGTGAGGATGCAGCGCACGCGAGGGGTGCAAAAGAGGCATCCCGACATATTGCTTCACCTGCACCCAGCAGTGGCGAGCCAGCTTCGCAGAGCCCTGAGGGAAGCGTTGTTAGCAGGCGCTCAGAGCCTGCAACTCCGAAGAGCGCAGCTTCAGGCGGCGGTGCTCCAGGGCGCAGTGAGGATGCAGCGCACGCAAGGGGTGCAAAAGAGGCATCCCGACATATTGCTTCACCTGCACCCAGCAGTGGCGAGCCAGCTTCGCAGAGCCCTGAGGGAAGCGTTGTTAGCAGGCGCTCAGAGCCTGCAACTCCGAAGAGCGCAGCTTCAGGTGGCGGTGCCTCAGGGCGCAGTGAGGATGCAGCGCACGCGAGGGGTGCAAAAGAGGCAGCTCGACAAATAGCTTCACCTGCGCCCAGCAGTGGCGAGCCAGCTTCGCAGAGCCCTGAGGGAAGCGTTGTTAGCAGGTTCTCAGAGCCTGCAACTCCGAAGAGCGCAGCTTCAGGTGGCGGTGCCTCAGGGCGCAGTGAGGATGCAGCGCACGCGAAGGATGCAAAAGAGGCAGTCCGACATATTGCTTCACCTGCGCCCAGCAGTGGCGAGCCAGCTTCGCAGAGCCCTGAGGGAAGTGTTGTTAGCAGGCGCTCAGAGCCTGCAACTCCGAAGAGCGCAGCTTCAGGTGGCGGTGCCTCAGGGCGCAGTGAGGATGCAGCGCACGCAAGGGCTGCAAAAGAGGTAGTCCGACATATCGCTTCACCTGCGCCCAGCAGTGGCGAGCCAGCTTCGCAGAGCCCTGAGGGAAGCGCTGTTAGCAGGCGCTCAGAGCCCGCAACTCCGAAGAGCGCAGCTTCAGGTGGCGGTGCTCCAGGGCGCAGTGAGAATGCAGCGCACGCGAAGGATGCCAAAGAGGCAGCCCGACATATAGCTTCACCTGCGCCCAGCAGTGGCGAGCCAGCTTCGCAGAGCCCTGAGGGCAGCGTTGTTAGCAGGTGCTCAGAGCCCGCAACTCCGAAGAGCGCAGCTTCAGGTGGCGGTGCCTCAGGGCGCAGTGAGGATGCCGCGCACGCGAAGGATGCCAAAGAGGCAGCCCGACATATAGCTTCACCTGCGCCCAGCAGTGGCGAGCCAGCTTCGCAGAGCCCTGAGGGAAGTGTTGTTAGCAGGCGCTCAGAGCCTGCAACTCCGAAGAGCGCAGCTTCAGGTGGCGGTGCCTCAGGGCGCAGTGAGGATGCAGCGCACGCAAGGGCTGCAAAAGAGGTAGTCCGACATATCGCTTCACCTGCGCCCAGCAGTGGCGAGCCAGCTTCGCAGAGCCCTGAGGGAAGCGCTGTTAGCAGGCGCTCAGAGCCCGCAACTCCGAAGAGCGCAGCTTCAGGTGGCGGTGCTCCAGGGCGCAGTGAGAATGCAGCGCACGCGAAGGATGCCAAAGAGGCAGCCCGACATATAGCTTCACCTGCGCCCAGCAGTGGCGAGCCAGCTTCGCAGAGCCCTGAGGGAAGCGTTGTTAGCAGGCGCTCAGAGCCCGCAACTCCGAAGAGCGCAGCTTCAAGTCACAATTCAGTGTCTCCTGCTTCCAGTGCCGACCGGGCACCGTCGGTACCGGTGACGGAAATCGAAGCCAGCAGCCAGCCTGCCAGTCCCAGCAGAGAGGCCGAGACTGCCGATGATGACTTGGCTTTTTTGGAGTACATAACCCCAATCGCCAGAAGGCAAGACTCGCCAGTGGCAGGAAGCGCACTTGTGCATGCCACAGAGAGTAAACCCTGCGCGAAGGAGGGTTCATCTGCAAGTACGAAAGGGACAACTCTGCATGCTGGTGAGCAGGCAGACGCCCCACCTGCCATACCTGCCCCCGCCAGCGGAGAGCGCATCAGAATGCTCACTGCGGCAGACCTCAGCCGGCAAGCGGATCTGATCGCAGATGATCTGCTCAACCAGGAGGCTGCAGAGGCTCTGCGTCAGCATACAGAAGCAATGAAGCAAGATCAAGCAACATAGCACCCTTGGCCTACAACTTTAACGCCGACCTAGCCAAGCCAATTCAGCACGGGCGAGCCGTCCCTGGAGAAACAGAAGACCTGCGTGCAGAGCAAGTCGCAGGTGTTGGCGATGCCTTCGGCTGCGAGAGACCCGCCGGCCAAAGCAACAAATGTCAGCAAGGCATGTCAAAGACGTGCTCTGTGCCGAGGTTCCAAAAGAAACCCGCTTCAGTCTCGTTCGCACTCTTTGTTCAGGGGTGCCTTCACGATAAGGAAGATTCCATAGTGCTCGCTGTAGTCTTCCTCCACTGCGGGGTACGGAAGTCTCTTGGCCGAGTACGGGTTGAATTGCTTTGATCTCCTCCTGATTTGGCAGGGCCGCATTTTACTCGGGGCTTCGGGGCGGTCAGCTCTTCGGCGAGGCTCCGGCAAGCTGACTAGCCATGACCGAGCGGGCAAAAGATAGCGTTGCCTGCAGCCAGGCCGTGGTGAAGATTTGCCAGAAGTACGGATGGACAGACTCTTTGCCTTTTGCCCAGGCCTCAGTCGGCCTTTGTGGGGTGGCTTCTCGGAGCTTTTGGTCATGCTAAGGTGAAGAAGTCGGCTTCCCAGCCTGGCATTTTTCAGATCTGGAATAGCGGCATGCCTGGGGGACCTGAGGCCCTTCAATCCAGAGGAGAGTTACCTTGACGAAGCAATCGGATTTCCGCTGGCCCTGATCGGCTTCTATTTTCAGGCTTGCGGGGGGCTGGACATCGTGTGCTGGGTATTCGGTCCGACTGCGCACACGTAGCCCAAAACCTAAACCCTAACTATCATTCTTCCGATTCTCACGCTCGCACAAGGCATGTGTGAGAGTGAGCGTCGGAGCATCATTTTCGGGGACATTTTTGTTGTGGGTGTGCCACCGCGAGGTGGGTAATCCCACAAAAATCCCATAAACATCCCCTAGCACCCTCAAGCCGTTCCGCAACAATCACCGAAAGCCCCACCCCTAAACCCTGAACCCCAAACCCTAAAGTCGAAACCCATAGTTCCACACAACCCCAAGAGCCGCTGCCCAGTTGACGCACTTCTTCGCGCTGCTGCCGTTTCCCCTGGATTGGCTCCTTTGGCCCCTGACCTGCGTTGAGCAGCTCCTGGAGCTCCAGGCGACTCCTATACACCAAACAAGTGTAGAGATCTCCATATACATGTCGATGTAAGCCATTCTTTGATCATGTCGGTACTTTGTTTGCTCATCTTTCAAGAGGAATTGCACTGACTTCCACTTGGAGGATCTCAAGAACCGAGTGTGATCCGAAGTCGAACCTGTACTTTGGGGACCAACGTTTCAAGTTGAGGTTCATGATGTATGTTGAGTTTGGGACGTCTCGTTGACATGACAATGCTACTGGCTGGAAGGAAACGCCTCCGGGATCTTGGATCTGAGACCCCCATCCCCCCTCCAACCCCTTTCCGGAAGAGCCCCCGCGACCATGTCCATGGTCGTTTTTGTCTTGGGGGGATATACATACAGGTATTGTATGTCGTGTTGCGTTTTTAGGGTGTCTTGTTTCAGTTGTGTTGGTTACTTCTGTTTAGGGTTTAGTGTTGTTGGCTGGGTTAACAATGCCATCAGAAAGACACCGAGTTTCACAAAGTCGGGTTAAAACAAGGGCCTTTGAGAGGCCCTTGGAAAAAGGGAACTTCAGAGGCATTCCCAACCCAAAAAACCCGAAACGCTGTTTTCAAGTGCTTGCGTCTTGACAGATCAGCTGGTGATGAGCCACGAGGCTGGGGGCGAGGTCGCGCCGCGCGCACACGCTCGACTGAAGAACCCCCCATGCCCTCCAGTCTCGCTACCTGGCACTTCGATTGCTGCGATTGCGCGCCGCTGCTTCATTGGCAGGCTGCTGAATCATTGCGGATGAGCCCCCGCAACTCCTACAGTTAGGCAAACTATTTACATAGACGTGAGCCACGTTGCTTGCGGAGTTCCAGCGGCCAGTGGCAACACTCCATACTGCAGTGCTTCGCTTGGCCGCGGCAGCTGATGTCTATATCCATGGTTTTGTCGTCACTTCCCAGAAATGCAGGCAGCAGTACCTGCTGCGTTAACATCTCTGCCCAAGAGGGCATCGTTTCCAGGATCCTAAAGATGGAGATGAGCATTTGCAGTCTTTGCAGTCGAACTGACCGGGAGCTTGAGCTGATGCGGTCGGCTGCACCTTTACCTCCACTGCTCAACCTCCTTCTGCAGTTTGTTGGCTGAAGCCGTGGAACATCCATAGACTGTAGCTGAGCAGCAGCGTGTGTGGCGAAGAGGCGTGCCGCCATAATGCATACTCGTACTATCAAGCTTGTATTGGATCGCGGTGCCAGAAACTAAGGCCCAGATGGTGGACCTGGCTGACATCGCACCCATCTTCTCTAGCTATTCAGCCTCTGCTTCGGGCGAGCTAGATGGCAGGAATCGCCATCTCGGTGTGGCTGAATCTTCAAGTGCATGGAAAAGCCTATTTTGCTTGAAAAAGAGACGGGTGCCAACCCGAAGGAGCTTCACCAAACTCTGCAAGGACTGCAGCTTGTTTGCCCTGGCCTCATGGGCAGCCAGTGGTCGGACCTTTGTGAGCCTCTTTTTTATCCGGCAATCCCAACGTGGGTAAGGATCGGAGTTTCAGTTCGACCGATGCAGACCTCATCTTCGCAAAGGTCGTGCCAAAGGTGCTGGAGTTGGGGCAGTGTATGGTTTGTGGTTGTTCGGCGTACAGGAACATGTCATGGGTTGGTGCCATCCATCCGGGCCTCTGCACAGGGTCAGCGACGAATCACCATTGCCGAGTTTGAGAAGGCTCGCGTATACTTCTGGGCTGGAGCCAGAGAAGCTGTTGAGTCTGTGGGGAAACTCAGGGCCGAACCGATCAGGATCGCGTAGGGGGGGGGGGGATGGCACACAGACTCTGGCAAAGGAACCTCCCCCTCGCCTTCGTCGAACCCTCGGCCTTAAGTCGAACCCCTGTTTGGCCTCGTCGAACCCCTTTTTCGAAAGCAAATAAAGGTTCCCGGCTTTCGTCCAACTTCGTTTTGGCCTGTGGGTGTTTCGGGGCCTTCGTCGAGCTTCCCCAGGCGTCCTGCTCATCCCCGTCCTGATGCGTTTGTCCCGTGGAGACGTGTGCATGTCCAGTCGCAACACCCTGTGCTGCTACAGTACGGCAGGCGCTCAGTCTCATCGCTGATCGGCGCGGATGCAGCCAGGAGCACGCCTTTGCAAAACTCAACATTAAACATGCGGATATGAGAACGACCTGTCACCCGTGTAGGACGATGTCATGCAGAGAGTCGCAGATGGGGCAGGCCCTGCCTTGGAAGGGACCAAGGCGGAGGCAGTGTCCTGGCATAAAAGTGTGCTTTGGGAAAGTGAGGGTTCTCTTGGGTGTTCAATGCCCGGGCAAGATGCAATTTGGAGCGCACACGGTCTGCCTGAGGTGCGATTTCATGATGACAAGACAACCTACACGGGCACTCATGCCCGTGGTGGACCTGAGTCTGTGCCCAAGGCCACCCAGTCTGCCCACAGTGCCTTCGGGTTTGGGTATTGACTTGCAAGGTGAAGGGATATTGCTTCTTGGGTTCCTGTGCCAAACCTTCCAGAATAAAGCCTTCCAGATGAAAGCCTTCCATCGGCACCTTCGCCCGAGGGCTATGGCCACGTGCCCCAGACAGCCATGAAGCCGCGGCGGTCGCTTTCCCGGACGTCCAGTGGAGTCACCCGCCTTTGTCTATCCTTCTCTCATGCGGCCTAATCCCGAATCTCAAAAAGTTCTCACAGAAACAGCATGAGCGGTGTGATGCAGCCCTCAAGCCTGCAAGGCATGTGCTTTGCCCAATCTCCTGAATGCCAGCACGGGAAGCAGCTCGGGCACTGTCGGCACAGTGGAGCGCAAGCTCAGCCGCAGCTTCGTCGCAGAGTCTTTGTGAGAAGGGTCTCGGGTTTAGGGAGGTTGGCTTCAGAGGTCCGTGTTAAAAAAAGGGAGGTTGGCACAGGGGTAGGATACAAGGGTTAATTTATTTTCATGACCTGCGTTGGACTTGATGATGTTGGGCTGCCTGCTAGCCTACCAGAAAGTGCCTTTTTGATTCCAAGAGCAGGCTTGAGCATGCTAAGGGAGGTCCAAAGTTGGTTGATTTTCAAAGGGGTTCAGTGCAGGAACAGGATCCAATGGGTGGATTCGCCCAATCACTCCACTCGAGAAAGCTGCAACAATCAGTCGCAGAGAGGCTGGCAGGACTTTTTGCATATTTCGCATCGATGCAATGCGGCAAGCTGGGTTCTTGTACCCAGTTTTCGTCGCATGTTTCTGTTTGCTGCAGGGCTGCGGCCTCCTCGAGAATGTCTTCGAAGCATATTGCAGCCCTGGTCAAACAGAACCTTGTCAGTGGTCTATGAGCTGGGTTTCTGGGCTGCAGCATCCATTCCGACAGATAAAGAGCAAGGAGATGGATGGCAAGGGCTTCACCAAGCTGATGAAGGATAGCAAGATCGTGGGCTCAAGGTTCACTACAACGGACGGGCAGCATGCACTAGTAGATGCATCTTGCTTTGCTTGCTGCTTTGCTTACCGTTCCGAAAGAGGCCTCATGTGCACGTCATGGCTCGCAGGATGCTGACTTGACATTCGCCAAAGTCGTGTCGAAAGGCCCACATATTGCAACCATTTGCAACCCCGAGTTGCCCCCCCCCCCCCCCGCCCAGACGAGTCTGTTTTCGTGGTTGAGAGAGGCCTTCGGAGGATTGATTTCCTGCAGTTCAAGGCAGCGCTACTGATCGTGGCGGATACTTGGCTGCTTCCCTAAGTCGGCGGTGAGATGCTAAGTCAGGGGGCAACAGTCGTGCCCTGCGTTTTATGGACGTGAGGAGAGGAAGAACATTGAAGCTGGAGACGTTTTTGAAGCTGTGGCCAGGCCGGGACAGCAGTGCATGAGTTGTATATACTCCGAGGGACTGGACTGGTGGCAAACCAAGATCTACTGTACTCGTGGTACACCTGATGCGCGACTGGTGCGATTGGTGCGACGATGCCAAAAACGACTTCCATGTATGCAGCGGCTATGTGCTGCAGTTGTGTTGATGCAACGCCTCGGGGCCCAGGATTCTGATCTCTGCAGTAGGCCAAGCACGTGGAAAAGAGCTTTTATTGTTCATAGCCTGTGAGGCAGTTTGCAGGCCCTCAGCTGTGCGGCACGCGAACCGAGTCAGTGCGCTTCCACGATGCCCCATGGCTGCAGCCAGCGCTCAAGTGCCTGAGATCTGCTCTGGTAAGAACCAAGGACATCAGCACCTACACAGGAGTCCACGCCAATGGGGGCCCTGATGCTGTAGCCAAAGGCATCCCCAGAGCTTGAGCCCAAAACCCTTGGAATCAGTAAACCGTTTTTCATCGTTTTCGACGAGTTGATCTGAAGTTGGGCTGCTTCAGAGGTTTGTTGTTTAGCGGAGCATTGCTAGACAGGCAAGAATGCCTTGGCAATTGGCAGGCACCGGCAGCGCGCAGTTGGCCTCCTTTCGTATGTGATTTCGTGCACCCGTCCACAGGCGGGATAGGAGCATCTGGGGTAGTGACGGTCGTGGCTTCAAGATCCAAGGCATTCGAAACTCCGAGGCCCTCTGTTCCCTCCCACCTCGTGCTTTCCAAGATGAACTTTTGGCAGGACTTCGCGGAGGGCGGTCAGCTGAACACGGTAGGTCAGGCAGCCAGATCACTTCTGTGCCCAGCTGTGGTACAGAAGGGGTCAAGGCCATGCCATGTGGCCGAAAGTGTGCGTATATCTTCGTGACTGTATTCTTACATACCAGCCTACATGGTGCATCAGTTCCACTTCATAGACGGCTCTGTCTCGCACCTCATCCCAAATAATTAAGATATGTTTCACTTTAGCCCGTCATGGACTGCACCCGGTTGGGCCACGAATTTCCAGGAGAAGCAGGTTTCTTGGATGGCCTGACCGTTGCAGTCGGTAGTTGGGGTCTAGGCTTCGCATGAAGGCAGATGGATGTAAGAGCCGACCGAAACGTTTGATTGTGAAATCTGTGAAGTTGTTCTGCATCTGAAACCGGGAGTCGTGGAACAAGGTGAAGCATCCTGAAAGACCTTTCCTTGCATCATGCATGAGCGGTTTGCTGGTGTGCGCTCCATCCAAGCTGCCCGGGGTCTTCTGGCAACTCAGAGGCTCCATGCTTAGAAATGCTGCACTGCGTAGCTGCAGCTTGTGCATGCTGCAGTTCTGGGTCATCGCCAGCCCTAGCAAGTACTTGCAAGACTATTGCGGGACATCGGAGCTGGGCACGATGCAATGCTACCCAGAAGATGCGCTGCACGGCTGATAGCTTCTGGGGGGATATCCGCCGAGCGTTGACAACGCGCAGAGGGGAGCGGATCGACAGCTGTTCAAGCCCCTCACCTGCGCATGGCGCTCGCAGCCCACTTGCGCTGTTTGCGCAAAGCATGCTGCGTGGCTAGCAGCTACTAGCACGCCATGAGGCAGCCACCTGCGCTGCGTTTTTGTCTCTCACTTCAGCACGTGCCGAGCCTATGAATGCCTGCAGAGCAGGGTCTTCGCTGCGCATGCGCAGCTGTAAGACTCAGATAAAACCCCCAGTTCTTGGCATTCATAGGTTCATGGGCATCCGATAGCACTCCGATAGCCAGGCTCCCGAAGGCCCGGAGGCGGGAAAAGCGTACACTCAAGCCCGGGAAGCGCTGAAGCGAAGCTACTGTGCCAGCCACTTGAGAGTTCGCTCTGCAACTTGCTACCTGGTGCTTCTGGCGCTCAAGACGCCAGACTTAGTGCCCTGGCTTAGGCCGCCGTGGGCTGCATTCCTTTGCTCAAAAGAACGTATGGTGAGTAGCAGCTCCTCAGCTCCTCCCATCGACAGCGACAGGAGGCCTGGAGGGTTCCCGAATCAAGGATGACGCTTCTGATGTCAGCCCTGCATGTGTCGCTGGTTCCTTAGAAGACCGATGTCACCCAATAGAATCTGAGCGGGCATTCATGTAGCCGCTGCGTTCACCTGCCAGTTCACTCAAGAGATGCCATTTGATCTCAAGGCGGCCGATACGCGAGTAGCATCCGCCAAGTGCACGTAGTGGGCAGAGTCATGGGGGCTGTCTCGTCTTCGGTCTCTTCTCTTTTCACCTGGAAGGGCCAGCGGAAGCAAGGCATTCTTCTCGTGGGCCTAGATGCCGCAGGGAAGACCACGATGCTGTACAAGATGAAAGCTGGTGAAGTCCAAGCCTTAGTTGAAAGCCCGGCGCTGCACAGAGCGTTTTGGTAGTACCGGCCTGTGTGCCGGGATCCGTAGGTGTTTCCATCCCATTTCCGTCTGTACCTCTGCTGACAGTCCAATCACAATCGCGAATTCTGGCTCCTTGGAGCTTGCAGGAGTTTTTGTTTGCAACCTCTTTGTCCTGAGCCCCCACATAAGAGCCTGCAGCTCGTGCCAAGGCCTTGGCATAAATTATCCCAGGCCATTTGAGCTTACAGCTTGCCCCCCCCCCCCCCCCCTCCCCCGAATCCTGTACAGCGGAAATCTGCAAGCAAGCCCTGTCTGCCGAGCCACCCTTCGGGGCCCTGGCTTGCGTTCGCCCAGCTCTCAAGTCCAGCTGCAAAGCTTCCCGTGGCAACGTCTGCCCCTTTTTACCACACAACTCTCATGCCAAATGTTTGGTGAAACCCTCAGCTATACTGGAACTGACATGGCCGTTTGCCTTGAGTAAGGTCCGCACCACCATCCCTACAATTGGCATGGTTGTGGAGACACTTGAGATCCGTGGCAAGATGAACATCACGACAATGGTCGCGTTGGATGTTGGCGGTCGCGACAAGATTCGCCCTCTCTGGAGGCACTACTACCAGAACGTGGATGCGCTGGTGTTTGTGGTCGATTCCAATGACCGAGAGCGGCTAGAGGATGTGCGCCAGGAGCTTGACAAGTTGCTCCGTGAGGATGACCTTCTGGACAAGCCCATTCTTGTCTTTGCAAACAAGCAAGACCTGCCAAATTGCCTCAGAGTGCCGGAGCTTACTGACAAGCTCGGCCTCCATAACATCCGACACCGACGGTGGTACATCCAGGAGAGTGTGGCTACCGAAGGCAAGGGTGTGTACGAGGGGATGGAGTGGCTGTCATCAGAGTTGAACAGAGATCGCAGAAGTGACTCGGCAATGTGCAGTGCTCCGGCATCCCGAGGGCTTCCTGCCAAGGGTGTGGTGGCAAAGCCAGAGCACCCTGATGATGTCTCGACGGCCGACACAGAGGATGCCATCGCCAGGGCAGAGGTCATCACCTCACATCCGTGAAGTGGTGATACGTGGTAATACCGGCAATAGCCGCGAAGCCTAGTGGACTGTGAGGCATGCATTGTGTAGTGTGTGTGCCTCGCTGTTCATGTCCTTGAAGTGTACACGAGTTATTGGGCTGTGTACAGTTCCGCCCTCAAAAAGTCAGTCGCTTGGTGCTGTACATTGCAGTCAGCTTGCCCGCATAGTTTGTGCTGCGCAGGCCGTGGAGGATCGCCGAAAGACCTCAGCTTGGCTTGAATTTCACGAAGCATTGGCCGAATGTCAATCCAAGTGGTACACGGATCTGTCGCTTACGCTACTGTGAAAGTTGGAAATCTTGGCAGGAGCCGGAGGTGATGGCCTCGTTGAGGAATTCGTCGGTCAGTCAAAGGCTTTTTGAGGCAGACGAGCAGCTTGTCTGTGGCTGAGAATAAAAAGCGGGCTGGCTGTCAATCGCAGCATGGAAGATTCTCAGAGTCTTGCCTCCAAAAGGGTTCTTGTCAACCATGTAAAGCGGAAGCAATCCGTGAGCCATTTCTTGCCCAACTTTGGGTTGGCGTCTCATTCGAATTCATGGTTTTCGGGTTTGGATGAGCGACACCCGTATCGTAACAGAGAGTCCAAGTGTAAAAAGAGGTATTTTAGATGAGTTCAGGTTTTAATTTTTGTTTCTACTAGTTATGAGCGCCGATAGTTCATGAGACCAGTGGCAAATGAGCTGACCCCGATTCTCTCCACGCTTGGATGTGTCAGTTCATGAGAAGTGCGATGTGTGCAGATGTGTGTGCCTTCCGCTGAAAAAGGGGAGGCATAGAAGGCATAGACCAGAAGAAGCCTCAAACCCTAAACCCTAAACCCTAAGCTTGCCGGCCGTGTGCGAGTGTGAGAGTCGACACTTTAAGCTTCCCAGAGTTGCCATGCAGCCATGGAACGCCGCGAAACCCCTTTGGCTGTGGAGGACGTGGTCTTGGCCCTGCGGGGCGCATCTCTGATCACGCAGGAGCTGTCACTTTGGGCCCCGTTTTCCCCGTAAACCTCCCCGTGTTTTTTGAGAGCGGAGGAGCCCTATCGGCCTTGTCAAAGTCTAAAGGAACTTTCCCTGCTCATGGGCCAGTGCGCTTCTGGGGTACATCCATGTAGATCCTGATGCCCGGAAGGGTCCGAAGGGCTGCCCTGACTTTCGGACAGGAGTGCGCGAGCGAAGAAAGCTATGAAGACGATCGTGCGTCTGTTCGAACGAGGTCACGCTCGTGCGCTCTTGGCTCCCTCATCATGTTCCCTGATTCTTGTCTGTGGGTTATGCTTGCTCTGGGACGGGTCGTGTACTGTAATCCTGCCACGCCTTGCTGCAGCGCATGCACTTGGTCGCAACGTAAAGAACTTCACTAGAAGTAGTCACCTGCAGCAGTGGGGTGATGGCATTCATTCCGAGGACAACAATGTGAGGAGGATATGGACAGCTCTCGCGGCTTGCCCGGAAAGTGGCCGGCGTTGGCATGTAACTGTCGATCCCCTTCCGTGGGGGCTGCTGAGGTGGTGCTGTTGCTAGGTTACATCGGCACAGTCTTCCTCTATAGATTGATCTTCATCCGCTTCTATGCCGCGGCGAATGAGGAAGTGCAGGCACGTGCCTTGCAAGAAGAAGAGGCAGAAGACGTCCTGTCAAAAATGCTGTGAATTCCAGGGGCCAGGAGCTTGCTAAAGAGAGAAGGAGAGGCAACAACACGAAATTAAAGTCCCCAGTTTCAAGCCACGCACACGTGTGAGCCCCACGCCTTGATCTCTAGGCCCGTGTCGGGACACGTTGGCGTTTTTCTTTTTGCAGTGCTGCAGGTTTGCTGGGGTACCTCCCCCGTTTCTTTGGGGGGGTACCTCGGGGCCCCTGGAGTTCTTCAATCATTTAGTTCTTAGACACTGCCGGCGTTGGTACATAAAAGTACTGAGCACTTCAAAAGGTCCACCGTCCGCATGGCGTGTCAGCGTGAAAGGGGGAAGCCTAGCCACCCCTCTTGGCCCTTGCTGCGACGCGAAGCCATGGGCATAGCCTCTTCTTCCGGCAGGGCCAGCCAGGTTGTGGTGCTTGGCTTAGACAATGCAGGCAAGACGACCCTGCTCCGCCACATGAAGGGAGACCTGAAATCCATATCCGGGCGCAATGCGATGAAGAGCGTTGAGGTTCAGAGCCCACATGGAAGCATGGCCCTCACGATGGCATCGTGGGATCTGGGTGGTCGAATCCCGGATCGTGCGCTTTGGCGGAAGTACTACAAGGACGCAGATGCACTTATCTTTGTTGTCGACAGCGCGGATCGAAGACGGCTGGAGGAAAGCCAAAACCAGCTCGAAGACCTCTTGAGGGAGGATGATCTGGTGGACAAGCCCCTCCTTGTGTACGCCAACAAGCAAGATTTGCCTCGGGCTCTGCCCGGCCCGGAGCTGGTAGAGTTCCTTGGCCTGAGGACTTTGAAGCGCCAATGGCATCTCCAAGAAAGTACCAGCAAGACAGGGGCAGGAATACTCGAGGGGCTGGCCTGGCTGTCCGACGCCACCTCTGCCAGTGTCAAGGAGGAGGTGTCTTCAACAAACTGCTTGATGTACGAGAAGCATGCCGACGACGTGTCGACAGCTGATACCGAAGATGCTGGCTCCAGGGCCGAAGTCATCAGTGAGTGCCCCTAGACATCTCAGCGACCTTAAGCTGAGCGAGCCCAGCGTGACTTAAGAGGCGGAGGCCGACGGCTTCTTAGCTCGTTCAACTTCGTTCAATCGTTCAACCATCAAAAGGCTCCCGGGAGGCAATGTACAGATGCCAGCGCCTGGCGGCAAAACAGATGTGCTGCGTGATTCGCAGGCAGGCATCGCGCCCGTGTTCGTGCCAACTCATGGCGGGTTTCTGCTCAAGTACTTTGAAAAAGGCAAAAACCAGGCTCTAGACAAGCAAAAGTCCTGTGATGGACAGGAGACAGACGTCTGGCTTGCCTTCGATAGCGTCGTGGATGTAATGTTTATCATCGACTTGTGGATTCAGTTCTTCTTCACGTACACCAACGAGTTTCTTGGCATCACCGTAGGATAATGCTTTCCCCTTTCTTTGCTCTAAGTCCTGACAGGGTTTCCCTTCAAAATGGTGTGGTAAGGTGCATCTGTTCATGTGATAAGCCTTGCAACTCAGGAAAGGGAAAGAGGCCTGGACTCGTCATGATCTCCCAGATACACAGCGCCCAGTTTTCTATTGGCCAGGTATCTTCTCCAAGAAAAATTGCCTGCAGATACCTGACTGGCTGGTTTTGGGTCAACGCGCGGCCTGGCAGCGATAGAGTCCTGAGCTTCGCTGCATTGTGCTTGGCGTAGCATCGCGGCTCCTCACAAACCCCTCAGATCCCCTCAGGATTTCATGCGTTCCAGAGAATGCCATGCACTCAGAGGGCCGAACGCACGATTCCATGCGAGGTTCAGTAGTTGAGAACACACACCTCGCTTGTTGTTCTGTTTAGACTGTGTTTGTCAAGTGCGTGTAGTTGAGCTGTGCGGTCAGATTGGCTCAAGGGGGCCCAAAGTGCGCCCCTCGAGCAGTAGGGATTGTAGGGGCCTAAAAAAACCAAGCCCTTCCTCTTAGCATGCAGAGGGGCAGGAAGGTCACGACTTGCTGGAGGTCGAATGAAGTAACCATTGCCAGAGACAGCTTCAATTCCATCGTGGCGCGGCAAAAGCTGGACGTTACGGAGGTCATGATGAGACACAGCAACATGGGCAGGCAGGCGGAGATGGGACCGGGTTGGTGTCCTTCGGGCTTGGTCTCCAGGCAGCTGGCAGAGGTTCTGGCGAAACGCCAGGGCGCGAGTGACAAGCTGCCACTGCGCTTGCAGGACGCGCGGGCCGCCAAGTATGCGCAAGGCATGCAAGGCATGCAAGGCGTGCAAGGCGTGCAAGGCGTGCAAGGCCCACCGGCTTCCGAAGCACCCGATTCGCCCAGAGGCCCAGTAGAAGCTCCCAAAGCCATCAGACCAACACTGCCGCAAGTTGCACCTGCTCCTTAATCTGCTTTGGAAAGTTTTTCTTAGTTCTGAGATTCGCTCGCCATTTTTGTAAGGGACGATCAAAATCACGATGTCTAACGAGTCTAGCATTGAGGCTCAGCTGGACTCAACCGACTTACCTTGGGCATCACCAGCGATGAGCCGGGGTACAGAAGTCCCCGACACCTCGCCGAGCACCAGAGGTGATCAGAAGGCCATACGCCAAGAGACACCGTCAATGCAGCCGCTCTCCGCCCGAGTGAGGCCGACGCCACCTCCACCGTTGCCGCACAATCAGAGCCAGAATCAGGCCCCTCGACCCATGTCTGCCCAGTGCAAGGTCAACAGCCATGGCAAAGCCGCGAGCGGCGCAGTGCCGAATCCGAGAAATGCCAGAAGCACCTTCTCTTGGCGTCCGAATGAGCACAGCTTGCAGCGCAACAGCTTCAACTCCATGGTCGGAAAGTCGAGGCTTGATGTGACAGAGGTCATGATCCGTGATGCCAGCATGGGGCGCCAGGCAGAAATGGGGCCGACATGGTGTCCCGGTGGCCTAGCATCCAGGAAGATGGCGGAGGCTTTGTCTCAGCGCAGATGACCACCAAAGCAGACCTGTAAAAAAAGCAAACTCGCCCCCTAAGGGGACAGGTTTCTCCTTGACTGTCTTATGTATAGCGTGACCTTTCCAACAACCGCTGCAATCACCCGCAAGACAAAACACACGGCACAGGCAGAACTTTGCCGCGGTGGCTTCAAGATGCTGCTTAGGGCTAGCCGTGGTGAGAAGATGCAAGGATATGCCTGTGCCCTGAGTTGCGTGTGCTCTTGTCTGAGGCCGCGAGCGCTGTGTACGCTTTCTTCGCAGGCGAGGAAAGCCTCGAGGTGCGAAGTCGCGCAACGAAACCAAGCCCAGCCTACTGCGAATGAGTCTCGTGACTTGTGCAGGCAAACAACAGCCAGAAGACAGTTCGGCATTTCAGCCGCATGCTAGTCCTGCCTTCAGAGACCTAGAGTTGTTCGAACCTGGACGAGGAACTTCAGGGAACGCAAAACGAACTCCAGTTGTCTCTAGAAGACACAGCTGCTCGTAGCCAAGGCTCATGCGCATGCAACGCATGACAAAGATCGTCCGCATGCTGCGGCTGGCGAAGCATGCTTGAAAGTGATCGGTGGCATCTGCCGTGATTGTGAACTGTTAAAGGCGCTTGTCGTAACCAAGGAAGCTAACGCAGCTGACCGAGCGGCTCAATCTCGATTCCTATATCCAGAGATATAAAGTGGTCGCGGTTCTGAATACTCTGTTTGGATTGATTTGGGTGGTGCACGTCATGGCCACTTAGCAGCAAGGACCCGCTTGAAGTAGGGGCAACAACCAGTTCACTTCGGTGACTTTCGGTGACTGAAGAATTCAGGCCTGTGGCTGGTATCTTTGTGCCACGTTGCATGAAGACCCACGGCTGACTTGGCTGGGTCGCCGCCTCGTGGGATTGAACGAGGACTCATCCAGAGTTACCCCCTATTTATCCCCAGCAAAGCATGGTCCTGTGGGGGCCTGCAGCATCGAGTGCAGTTCACAGGACATGTTGCTGCACGGGGAGCCCTTCGAACAGTGGGCGCACGCGATGTACTTCATTTTCTCAGCGCTCTTGCAGCGAAGAGAGTGGTGATCAGTAGGCAGCAGCTTTTGCAGCGTGGGGCCAGTGGGGCCCTACAGCAGGCCTATGCAGGCCTACTTTAAGGGTTCTCGAGGGCTAGAGGTGTCTTGTCATGGTCCTTTGTGTAAGAGAGTCGTTGAGTCGTTCATGAATCAATGCAGGTTGTGAACAAGTCGTGTTTGTGGCATACTGAGGCCTCACAGCAGTAAGTGTTTCAATGTCATCGTGCCGAGGTCTTCACGACGGTGGGCTTCGGTATCTCTGCAGCAGATGTCCACCCTGGGCACGTTTCGACACTGTTGCAGAGCATTCAGACCTTCTTGCTTGGCTGACAAGACGAATTCCGTGAATCCAGTACCCCTTACCAAGACTGCTCAGCAAATTCTGTGTACAGGCCTCTCTTGCTTGAATGTGGTTACAGCCCCCATGCCAGCACTCGCAACACATGCACGTCACAGCTGTCTGCTGAGACTTCGCTTGCCTTGCTGGGCTGCCTAGGCGATATTTCTGCCTTCACAACTGGAGAGATCATGTATGTGACCTTGACCATGATGGTTGGTGCGGTCGTTCACAGTATCATCATTGGCCAGGCAAGGGCGCTTTGTGCCCGACATCGCTCGATGGTTGAACGCTCATTGCTGCTGGTGTCGCTAGGTGATCAACGAGGTGACCAGCGACAGTACCGACTCTTAGCGGAAGCTTGTGTGCCGTTCAAGGGCGGTTTAAACAAGAAATCATACATCATTGCTACCTTGGTAGCTTGTGTTCGGACCTGTGAGTCTGTGAGGTGAATGCCTTTCTGAAAAACAAGCTGAAGCTGGCCAAAGAATTTGCAGTCCATTCGCAGTTGGATGCGACGGGTTCCAAGTCGCCGGCTAGCTGCAATGCTGGGAGAACAGAAGCCCACCCAGTAAGCCCTAAACCCCCTAAACTCCCTAAACCCCCTAAATCCTTCTTTGATGTTGTGATGCTTTGGATGGCCGGGAGTCTAATGCCTGAGGGAGGGGGGGGGGGGGGGGGCTGGGACAAGGAAGCCAGCACTTGAAGATGGTGTCCTCCATAGTTCTAGAAGAAGCAGTAGCGTGTGTCGTGCCCTGCAGTGCTTCTCCCTGAGTCAGCTAGGCGGGTGGCACAAAAAGGCCTAAAACCCGAATGGCAGCTATGCGGGAGCGAACAAGAATACCCGAAGACCCCTGCTTGAAATTTGATATTGAGCATTCCGCGAATAAAATAATAGGATCCCTGGAAGCAACCGCAGAGAAAGGCTGTATTTTTGGCTGGAGCAAAATGTTCGCGACCTCATGGGGCAGCAGTACAAGATGGATGAGATGCTGCAGCTTATTGCCAATGACATGCCGCTTCATTTGATGAAGCCGACCCGAATTCAGCACAGCTTGTGTGCATTTCTTGCACCTCAACAAAGGAGCTCCATGTGGGTTGATTTAAGGTATGGTCCGGTTTCCATTACAGCGCACTGTCAGCTTGAGGGTAGTAGAGGGCCCCAGAATGTAGAGATCAACTTTCATGTGGTGCAGCCTAGCTGAGGAAGGACCTCCATGCTCGGCTCTTCAAGGGCCAGCTTGCAAAAAGCAAGCGGGGGCCTCAAAGTTGCCACGAAGTGCTTGCGCAACTATGTTCAGGATTTAGTAGGGTAGGCTTTAGGGATTAGGGTGTTGTGGATTTCAAGGAAAGCAGGATGTTGCCAGGGGGTTCGCATGCTTGTTGTGACCCATACACAGGTTCCTTCGCGTCCCCTTTGTCACGTCAATGCCACCGCGGCTCCCGATGTTGCTGTCGCTCGCATTGGTGTCCAAGCAATACGAGGGGAATCAGCTCCTCTTCCAAGCAGGAGACTCACAGAAATTAGTTAATGAAACAGGCAATCGCTAGCCGCGAGCTTGTCATGTTGCGCACAAGGCTGAGCAAACCACGCCCCTGCCAGGAGATGCAGCGTGCCACCTATACCTCGTCTTGAGTGGTACCTTTGCCTTTGTGGCACGGCCTGAGCGGCACACCAAAAGCCCCAAGGCAAACGCACCTGGGCACCAAAGCTCTCCGCATGTTCTGTTTTTGGAGGGTTTCTGTCAAATCTCAATCAAGCACAACAGGCATACCCGTGGTAGTCGCCCAGCGATGTAAGGACATGTGGCCATACCAGCTGTTTTCGCATGGGAGCAGCTCGGGTGGCAAATGTTGTTTCTGAAGCAAGGTGTTTTGCTGCGCTCCGCTTGTTCTCAGCCTCAGAAGCTAAGAGGCTAGCGACAATCGCAGCATGTCATTCCAACATTTCCTGTGTCGTGCTGCGCTGCCTTGTGCTAAATTCATGTTATGCGTTATGGGCGGCTTTGCCTTGTGTATCGCACCACATATGCTCGATCCGACCTTGCAAGACTTCTGAGGTAGTGTATGCCATGCGAATAGAAGCTACTTTTTCTCCGTACCATAGAGGGTTGGCGGCTTCGCTTGGATAAGGCTGCAATATTCTTTGCTACGCGGGTTCTAGCATGTTTGTCTTGTCGGAAACTGAGCACCTAGTTCGCCATCTTGACCTGTCGTATACAATCAAGCGCAGGTTACTTCGGAAACTATGAGCTGCACGACGGCACCAAGCAGCTTCTGGGCTGGTAATAACCGCTACCCTGTACCTCAGCAAAAGATGCCCCCGCGCCAAGGTTTCGACGAGGCACCGCTCGCTGCGAAACGCCCGAGGGAGGGCAAGTCCTGCGCCTACAGAAGGACCACTACCAGCGTCTCTGCGGTGACTTCCCTCAGCAGCTCGTCCATGCAAGAAGGAAACCGCGAAAATTAAGGACGTTGAGCTAAAAGGACCACGGTGTGCTTCGATCTGCGACCAGAAGGAAGCATCTAAGGTTTGCATCAGCATGGAAGTATGAGGCCAACCGTCGTGAGTGCCATCGTTGTTGGCTCCACGCAAACCACACCCGCATGCTTCCATATCGCTACCTGATCGCACTAGCTAACTTTTGAACTTTGAACCTACGCTATCTATTTATCATGTTGGCTGTTCCATTAGGTCTCCTGGCAGCTCGCCGGATACAGAAGCTTGTTCGTCGCTGTTACCCGCAGAAGGCCCCTGTTTGCAGTTGTGGCAGGGTCCGGAAGCAAGACGAAGTGCGTGCAAGCAACATCTGGACCGACCGTATAAGCCAGGTGGACAAGTCCAAAGATGAGGCAGTGAAGAAAGATAGCTCCGGCCTGCTGATGGTTGGAGAAAGCAGGGGCTACGCAGCGGCACCAGCACATATAGCACTCGCCAATCGCATGCCAAGCGATCCCACCATCAGGCATGCATACTCTGGTACTCTGCGAGGCCGGCACTCATTGAGGTCAACGTGCTCTTCTGGCGATTTCAGTGAAGGGGTTGGTTCCTTCTCCATGTCGGTCTTCCACCAGAATCCAGGCTGCAAGAGCGTCGCTGCTCTTCCTGAGAGCACTGCAGCGCTGTGGGAGCGCTGTATAGCGCTGTAAGGTGGGAGGAGGAATGCCAGTTCCGACCTCCCGTGCGCCAAGGAATTCTGACAGCAGCACAGGCCGAAAGCCGCTGCTGTCGCCTTCAGCAAACCTGATGAGTACTGGAATGGAGGAGCTTGTCTGGCATGATCTGGCACGAAGATGCCGAGCTAAGCTTTGCAGTGCACCCCCGACGTCCGAATGATCAGCTGCTCTGGTGAGAAGGACGAGAGTGCCTGCCAGAAACGCCTCTTGGTCTCTTGACTGCAGTGTCTGCATAAGACCGTTCCGGTGGCCTTTCCGTCTTGCCAGGCAGACGTTGCGATGTTGAGGAGTGAAGTGGAGACGCAGGCCAGTGATGCCCTAAACCTGGCCCTGTCAACCCGAACATCCTGACGCAGTGATCAAGGCAAGAAGGTTACACAGCAATGGCCATGTGGTATGTATGTAAGTATGTGTGTATGTCGGCAGGAAGACACACACACACACACGTCTCGATAGATACACGTATGTGTATATATACAGATAGATAGGTAGAGAGAGAAATTTATGAGACACCACTGCAAAAAATGATCCCGGGCTCCCGAGCCTGCAAAGTAGGCTGCAAGCGTGGGGGCGGCGGCAACTGTCGGCACTTTTTGAACGCGAAGAAGATACCAGGCTCCAAAAGTGACAATATCTCAGCACTTTTGGAACACGAAGAATTCTCCAAAAGCCGCCAATGGCGGGGGTGGGGTGGGCGGGGAACCAGAACCCCCGCTTTGCAACCCGCGTTGCAACCGGCGTTGCAACCGCATGAGCAAGCTGTTTGACAGGCATTTATGCTCAAAGTGTCACGCTATACATACATCTTATGTCGTCATATCATAGCATACAGCATATAATATACAATGTATAATGTTCATAATATACAAAATATGTAGTATATAAGATGCAGTATATATTGAATAAGTTCAATATGCAACATGTTATTTACATATTGTAAAAATGTTCCATATCATATGTAATATATACACATGTATAGTATGATGTATAAAAAATACACATGATACCCTATTTTGTATACTATGTTCGATCTTCAACATATTTTTTCCTATGATACAGAATATTTAAGAAATAGGATACCCATAACATATAATATGTACTATATAATATACATACACTATCCATAACACATAATATGCATTATAGAGAATAGTTGTTTGTGCTATTCAAGTAGACTATGTTACTGTAGTATGCATCAAATCGAAACATATTATGTTATTGTAGCAGTATAGGCGAGTGTCTCTTCGGACTTGTGATATCCTTGCTTTCTGCAACTTAAACCCGAAACCAGTCTGTCCATTTTTAAGCAACTAGAAATTCGAAACGAACCCTATATCCCGACAGCGGGTGGCGAAAGAATCACAGGGCTTGCTTGCCAGGGCGAGGCCCTGACTGCTTTGCGACGGGAGATGGCGCAGCTCCCTTACCTAGTGGCGGCCGCGGTGAAGGCTCTGATGGGGAGCTTTATCATGCAAGGATATAGCGTTCGGGCCAAGCAAGTGGCCTGAGGCTTAGAGGCTTAAGGAGCAGCTTGCGCAGTGCCAGCTTGTGGAGGAGCCTAGGTATTGTATTCTTGCTTGTTCCTCCTGGGGGTTTTCGTCGGGTTCTGGTTCAGGGCCAGCAGCCACTCGCCGGCCGTCCGCTGCCGAAGCTCAAAAGTGGAATCAGTAGTGTCCTACCACACAGGACTGAGGTAGAGACATGGACAGCGCCTGGAGGCCCCACCCCAGGCAGTGGCGCCTCGGCTGATTCACATCCATGATTAGGCCCCGTCTTGGAAGAGGCGGCAGGGCTCTGTGTCCAAAGCACGATGGGCATGTGAAGCATGCTTTGCCCTCGTCCATGTGCGCACTGTAAGTGAGGTGCGGCAGTTTGATCTTTAGTTGGGGCGATTCGGCGATTAGGATAGCTTGGACGTTGTTGCTCTCAGGGTGCTGTGGATCTTGGCCGCGGTTGTTCCGAGCAGTGGACAAGGCTGGCAGACATGCTTTGTCTTGACGCACGCGGCCAAGCACACCCAGTCCAGATCTTGCCGAGTACCGCACTTCTTGCCAGTTCCTGCCTAATCCAAGAGGCTTGAACCGTTTAAGAATCATCTGAGACTCAGATCTTCTAAGATGAGCAGCTGTCAGATACGACGACAACGACCACTACCGGGTTGACGCACCTCTACAGTCCGGATGTGCTTGGGCAATGCGTCACATTGAAGAGCCTTGGCTGGTTGGATAGGCATGCCACTGTCACTTGCGCCCACCTGCGCCTGTCTCTGTCGGCAAGTCGGATCACGTAATATAATGTCATATATTGTACTATATATATATATACATACATAAAGATTAGCCCTTGTCTGCCACATGCGATGTCAGAGACGAACAGACAGTTCTTTCACTCGCGTCATGCGTGGAAGTGAGACTGTCGGAGGAGAGTGGCAAATTGTAAGACGCGAGGAAGGAATCGGGGTGGCAAACCAAACCAACCCCAACCCCGAGAAGGTTGCTTAGGGGAGGACAAAAGACTCAAGCGACACGTGAAAAGCGCGCAGGTAAGCCTCCCTTGGCCCAAACCCCACCAGGTCTTGCCAGCTTCAGGGCGACTTCCCCAACCGTGGCTTCTGCATTTCCACGCAGGCGACGTCACCAGACGTGGAAGGCCCTGGCGAGGCCTGTTGCCTGGCAGGCATGGTAGCTTTGAGAAAGTCTGTGAGGCCTGGATAGAGTAGCGGTTCAGGGAGGCTGCTTTGCCCGCATTGCCTCACAACACCGGTGAGGCTATGACGTTTGCAATCCGACACTTGCCCGCAGTGAGAAGTTGATGTGTGCAATTGCACATTCAGACATATGCTTAGATGCCCCTGATTCAAGCAGCAGTAGAGCGGGTGGGTGGGGGGTGAGTGGGTGGGTGGTGGGTGGTGGGTGGGTGGGTGGGGGCGGGTGGGTGGGCGGCTGGGTGGGTGGGTGGGATGGGTGGGTGGGGCGCGGGGTGGCTGACTTACACTGTGACCTCTAAGGAGCCACAAGCCCATGGACTATACTGTCAATGGCAACGGCGCAGCTGACTTGTCCAACCACATCTCGCAGGCCGCTTCGCATGTCCAGCCAGTAGCAGGGCCTCCGACCTGCGGCGCTAGACATGCCGGGATCGGTATCTGAGCAAATGGCATGGTGCTTTACGCTCCGCCACTTCAGGCGATGGTGGCCCAAGTCCGGGCAGGACTCAACAACAACGTTTCCTGTCCAGAAGCACTGGGCCTGGCAGACTCCATGCAGAAGTGCCCACCAGGCCGTGAGATGTGGCACCCAGGGGAGTTTGGGCAGGTGAGAATATCAGGAATGTTGAAAAGCACCGGCAGCATGCTTTTGTTGTTGCCAGTTGCCCTGTAGCAAGTGGTCCCCAAAAGGGAGCCGAGTTTGCTAGCAGCCCCCCACGTGGTGCATGTCGCAGGCGAGCAGTGCAGCGACGAGCTGCGGCACAAATTCAAGGTTCCCAGCGGCCAGGGCTTGTGCGTGGTGTCGGGTGGAAGTGAAAGTGGACAAGCATGCTTTGAGCCTCTGGCTGCACCCATGACACCCTCCTCATGGCGCGATTGCGTTGCCAGTGATGTATGACATGCTGGAGGTTGCGCGCACGAAAGGGTGCTGGAGCTCATCCAGCTTCACCTGATGTCATGACCGGGAAGGGGTTGGCGTTTATGGCCAAGGACATGTGTGACTACCGCAACCCCCCGAGCCGATTTGCCGAGGGCGCCCATCAAGGCGGGGGTGGGGGAAGCGATGAGCAATGGATCCAGAAGTGAAAGAAAACGAGCTGAAGCTCCTACAGTGCAATATGGAGTGGGACTTCCGGCAAATCATGGTCCTACAACACTGGAGAGTTTGCCGTTGCTGTTGCTGTTGTGGTTGTCGTTGTGGTTGTCGTTGTGGTTGTGGTAGTGATTGTCGCTGGTTTTTCTGCTCGACCAGTTATGGCCGATAGTGTCATAGCAGAGGCTCCGGCTCTGAGGGCGATCTGCGTTCAGAGTGAGGGATATGGGCCGCCGAAATGGTTAGGCTCCAGACTGTATAGAGATGCTGCAGTTTGGATTGCAGCATAGCGTTAGTTTTCGAAGGGCCGATGAGCAGATGGTGAAGGTGTTCCATGCATTGCATACCATCATGTGCGTGTGCCGAGTCGTCCCTCTACTGCAGACTGCATGCAGATGAAGCCTTGAAACACGAAGCCCTGTGATTGCGCGCCAAAACCCCTTTAAACCCTAAATCCCAAAAATGCCCCCTTGGCAACTTGGGGTGCGCGCTGGGAGGCATTGCCCTGCACGTGATGGAGTTTCGCAACAGCGGCGCCTGTCAAGCAAAGCCTTGGCTTCCCTGGGTCACCTCCTCAGGATTGAGGGGTTTGGTGTGGGGAGGGTTTAGGGATTAGGGTCCGTAGGTAGCCCAGATGCAAAATTCGGTTTCAGGGGTCAGGGTTCCAAAAGGATCCTTTGAAAAGAACAACGAACGTGGGTGTAGAGGGTCGACTCTAAGCCAGGCCAGGATTTGTGATAGTCGTTGCATGTGACAGCAAGCTAGTGTTGGTGCTTGCGTGTGAGAGTGGGTGCCCAGGTCATTGCGCTCATAGTACTTCTGCTTCTTGGGGCCTGCTGTGGCCTGATCCTCTACAGCACCTGGTCTGCATCCGGGCACCATCCACGCTTTGCAGCCAGTTCAATGCAAGATGGCAAGATGCAGCTGGCATGTTCAAGTGTGATGCCGGTTGCGTTGTTGGCCCAAGCTTGCTAGCAGGGGAAGCACCTGGCTACTTTGCTGGGACTCGTTACCCGCGTAGTTGGCACTGCATGGAGGACAGCATCGGTGTCGAGCAGTTCGCGCTCGCTGCACTCGGAGTTCAAGTGGTCTTCGCTATCAAGGTTGTTTGCTTGGCCTTCTCTCACAGGCACATCATCAAACGCACCGCTCAACAGGCCGTAAAAGCACTTTCTGCCCCTCTTCGGCCTGCTAGCTTGAGCACAGAAGAGAGCCGCAGGTTCGAAGAAGTTCGCCAACAGCGTTTTCAACTGGCCCCTTACTATTTGGCGTGTTGCGTTACGGTGTCACAATTTGTGCTGCTGGCGTCACGCATAAGTGTTTTGGAGCATGGATGGATAAAGCCAGGCGCCTACTGGACAACTCTTGCCCTTTGTCTTGTGAACCTGGGCTACTTGTTCAATCCAGCTGCGCTTACCAAGTGGACGGTGGACTGGTGCTATGTCTTGCACATGGGCTTTTGTGCCATGTACCTCACGCCTTGGTGTGTGACACCTGCCCAGACGTTGAATACTTGTTTCTTTTTGCTCGGCTGCATCCGCCTGCCGGCAGTCTTGCTAGCTTCCAGGACCAGCCTTGTCCTTGCGTGCAATTTGCTCATCAGTGTTCTCCTCGTTGTACGCATCAGGACCGAAACGTGGTCGCCCCCAGGATGTGACGTTTTTGATTCAGCCTACACAATTCTCTGTGGAGAGGCGCTCAACCTCATCTTGACGGTTGGCTTCGGCTTCCTTGTGGATCGGCTTCTGCATCAAAAGGTTCGCCACGACATGATCCACAGAAGCGCGATAAGCCAGTTGGGAGCAGCTTCTGCCTTGCTGCGCCTGTTATGTGATGCCATCGTCGAGCTTGACTCCAATCTCCGAATCACAGATGACTCGCCTCAACTGGCAGCCATGCTGCTCAGAGACGGGCCTGGCTCTGTGAAGGGCATGACTTTCACTGATCTCATGCCGACAGTACCTGAAGCAGCACGGGCCAACGAGATACTGAGCTTCAATTCTGCCAAAACACAGGTCTCTGTCGTATCGGATGACTCAAGAGCCAGCATCCTAGCAAACGTCTTCCACACCCGCCTCGTCGACAGCTGCTCCAGCAAGTTCCGGACGGAGGTTTTTCAGGTAGCATACAGCCAGGCGGATGGAGAAGTCCATCATCTGATTGGCTTGAGGGATTTCACTGATCAGGCATCTCTAGCAGGCAGGAAGGCCTTCGACACAATGGAGGCTTGTCCTCCAAGCTCCAGGGCATCGGAAGAACGGAGCTCCGTGGATTCCGACTCTGAAGGAAGCAACAGCAAGGCCATCCCATCCAACCCCAGCCCCGATGAGGGCCTCGTGTGTTTGTATATCGACATGACGGGCCAGCGTGTGATGGCTGCCTCGCCGACTGTGGCGCATATGTCCGGCAAGGGCCTGGGCGACCTCTTCTTTCACAAGGGTCTTGAGATGCTTCGTCAGGTATGGCATGATATGTCAGAAGACCAGACAGGCACGGCCCTGAACTTCCGCAATCTCAAAATCCGCTGCGGAAACGATCAGCACTGTAAAGTGTCAGGTCACGTGGAAGTCGTGCAGACGCAGGATGGCCAGTTCCCCCTGCTCCTTCATTTCAAGCCGACCCGTCAATGTCAAGTTCAAGGACCATCGAAACCATCTTCCGCCAGTTACCACCACCACCACAGCTTCAACAACTGTTCACGCGTTCTCGGCCGTCCATATGATCAGCCTGAAGTGCCTGAAGTGCCTGAAGTGCGCCATGCTCTCTAAGCTCTAGCAAAATGTGTAGGCACCTTGGCTGCTTGAAGCATGTGCCGGCTTGGAGCATGCGGAAGCTGCCACAACAAGGTGCTCTCGTCCATGTGTGCTGGCTGTACAGATCGTGCCTTCTTCCCCCTGTGAAACAGGCCCTGAGGAGGCAGGTTCCTAGCCGGATATGAGGGGAAACCAAAAGTGACAAGTGATCATGCACGTCTGGGCTTAGGGCTTTAGGCACTTTAGGCTTTGATGCTTACTGTTCAATAACTGTTAGGGTTTCAATGTAGGAGCTGCTCTAACTCCATCAACTGTAGCCCTACCCGATGAAGGCTCTGAAGGCGACGACCTCGGGGATAACCTTAATTATGGGCCCAAGTCGGGTCGCAAGGACTTGTCGTAGACTGCATCTCGTTCATGTACAGTAGGATGCCCAAAACAGGGTCCGGCCAGTGTCTCCGGAAGCAGCAACATGACACCTGAACGCAATTTGTTGGAGGAACCGATTTGCAGCCAGGTTACCGCCGGCGCGGCGGCAACCGACGTGCCGAGATGTTGAAAGAGCGCTGTAATCGTGAGTCAGGGTGGGCCAGGTTGGAGTGCGAGGTGGCAGTTGTTTTGCTGACCCCCGCCTTTTGCAGGACGACCTGGGCGACGACGAGGAGGATCAGGCATCGCATGCGAGTCTTCTGGGATTGGGAAGTGCCTCCAGCCCTAGACCCCAAACCCGAAATGCTAAACCCCCTGGCATGTCCGAGCGTGAGCGACCAAATCCTAAACCCTAAGCCCTAACCCCTTCAACCGTAAACCAACTTTTCTGCAATCGGGCTTTTCTGAGGCTGACCTCTTCCCCGTAAACGCTTGCGAAACGGGTGGGAAAAAACCCCAAAAAACCTTGAACCCTATGGGAAATGATCGAGGTCAGAAGGCATGGCTTGCATGGTACCTGCCTCGAGGAGATGCCACCATTTGAGGACCTTCCGCCACAGGGACAGCCGGGCTACCACGAGGAGCGCGTTCCCAAAGACTCCCAAAACCCCTTAATTAATGAATATACCTTGAATCATCTTAGGGTTCCTATTATAATTCAAGGGATATTCCTTAGTTACGGGGTTGTGGAGACCCTCTGGTTCTTGCCTGTGACTGACGTTGTGCATTTGCGTGCTGTGCTGTTGTGGTTTCCGGTGGCTAGATCACAGGCACCCGATGAACCCAGTTGATGCCAGCGTTAGTCAGCGCGTCATCTTGGCAGGACCCGGGCTACAGTCCAGAGTATGACGTCCCTGCACGTGCAGGTGCTGGAATGGCAGGTGCTGGAATGGCAGGTGCTGGAATGTCGTACGAGGCCCCCTGGGCTCCGAGTCTTACGTGAGTTTCGGAGCATTGCAGAGCTTAGGAGAAGAAGCTATTGCCTTAGAAAAGGCAAGACCCTCGAGGACGGCACGGCAGAGAGAGAGAACGGCAAAAGCAGTGGGCAGCACCATCGCAGTGACAGCACCCCCGCACCACCTGCAGCAGCAGCACGAGTACTGGCAATAGAATCTTAATCGCAAGGCGAACAGAAAATTGCAGAACGACAGATGCCAAAACATATCAGCGTAGGTCCTCGCGAATCATACTATCATAATACCCGGAAGGCGCCGCCGCCGGATCCGCCCATGATGCGGGCTGAGATGCCGGATCGGCTCGGCTCGACAGGCTTCTCATGGCTTTTTAACTCTTTCTAACTTCGAAAAACGGCGCGTTTGTGTGCGTGTGGGTGGGTACGTGCGTGCGCGTGTGTGGGTGTTTTTTTTTTTTTTTTGTGTGTGTGTGTGTGCTTGCGGAGGAAATTCTTATGATTTGTATGATCTTTTTGCAGGCCTGAGGAGTTTTTATGTTTTGTTTTTGCAGGCTTTGGGCAGGTAATGCTGCCACTTGGTTTGTCTTTTCAGGGGTTCGCCCCTTGGCTTGCAGGTGCTTCCTTCAAGATCCCAGGGCTGGACGAGCCGCATCTGCCCATGCCCAACTTGAACTTGCAGCTGCCGCAGTCTGCCGCTTGTCAACCAACAGCCGCACGAATGGGTCCAGAGGTTCAGGACTATAATCTCTGTTATTTTTGTTATTGCTATTATTGTATCTGTCATTGTTCTTCGTATGTTTTTCTTATTTCAGGCCTGGCAGCACGGGCCGGCCCCCGCCCCCTAAAATACGAATACGAAGCCTCGAACCTTGCACTGTGTTCCTTCTTCTCGTTCACCGTCTCTCCGTCTCTCTCTCTCTCTCTCCCTCTTTTTTAGTTATCTGTTTCCTCTTCTCTTTACCTGTTTGTTTTTCTCTTTCTCGTTCGGTTTCTCTTTTGCTTGCTCTTTCTCTCCTCTTACTTCTCTTGTGCTTCTTTCTCTTTCTCTTTCACTTTCACTTTCTCTTTCTCCTTCTCCTTCTCCTTCCTTTTTTAAAGTCTTTTTTTATCTTTCTTCTCTTTTCTTGTTTTTCCTCTTTCTTTCGCTTCCTCCAGCTCTTTCCTTTTCTCTTTTTCTTTCCTCGCTCTCTCTCTCCCTCTCTCTCCCTCTCTTTCTGTGTCTCTGCCTCTCTCTCTCTCTCTCTCCGTGTCTTTTGCTCTCTCTCTCTCTCTCCCTCTCTGTCAGTCTTCTCCCACCCCGCCCCCCCCCCCCCCCCCTCCCACGCGCGCGCGCGCGCGCGCGCGCTCGCACCCGCATCATGAGCATGCATCAGCGGGGTGGGGTTGTCAACCGTCAACGGCATCCTTCGACATGCTCTTGGCCTTGAAATACTTCGACAAAGCTGCCGAAACACGCGTTTTTCCGCTCGTGGAGCCTTTTGGCGCGGCCAAAAGGAGCGCTGTGGTGGTCGGCGGATATGTCTGTTCTTCTTCTAATTATTGTATCTCTCTCTCTCCTTAAGAGCAACAAGCGTCCGGACTTGGCCCGACGCACGCTACCTGAGGGTCAGTCGGGACCGATTCCACTTCAAACCTCGGCTTCTGCACTCTCGACTTCTGGACAGGGTTCATGGTTCATGGTTTAGGGTTGAGGGTGTTGGGTGCTCGCATGTCAACGGCTCCGGGATGGTCCGGCTGGGAAGGGCGTGATGGTCGATGGCCTGGTTGATCTTCTTTGGAATGTCGGGGCACAGTGCACAGTTCATGCGTAGGACGTAGCATGGAGGACGGGTAGCTGCAGGGGCTCGTGTACTGTGGCTCTTCAGCATGGTGCCAAGTGCAGGACAGTACTTGCCGTCGACCGCCTACCGCGCAGCGCCAGCGTCGCCGCAAGCGGCCTTCACAACCCAGCTGCCATCGTACCCCTCCCCGGGTCCGGCTGTGACCAGTCCAGGCAGGAATTCTTGCTGAGATCTCGATGGCTCTTTTACAGTGGTCCGGCGCAGGATCCCGGGTCTACACCACGACGCTCCCGGCTCAATTTGCGCCCAGTGGCTCTGTGCACATTGCACCTTCGGCACCCGTGGTCACAGCTCCTGGGCCGCGTTGCCGGTTAGATCAGGTTAGGACCTTAGCGTTGGGATACAGAGCATATTCACCCCTGAATTTGGAGAATCTACCGATTAAGAACCCCTTTTACACAGCTCAAGACATCTTCCTGAGGGGCTTGTGGGTCTTGAAAGTGTTCAGGAGCACAGTCTGGGTTCTTCAGGTGCCTCCGCAGTACACTGCCAGCTACTCCTTGCCGCCGGGCCAGCAGTGAGCCGCTCTGGTGACTTGACATGACTGTACCATATCTGTTGGGAAGGGCCCCTGCTGCGCACCTTTAGGTGAGTGATCTCCCCTTTTTCCATTTTCGGAACCACCTTGACTTCAGATGGGCCACTTCCCTGGGCCTGCGTTTCGCCCACCTTAATGACGGACGGATTCGTCATGAAATCGTTCGGGTGGCAAGCGCCACCAAATCAAGCACCACCCGGTAACTGGCAACAAGGGCATGCTGAGTCTTTAGTTGCACGTGGCGGTGGCAGGAACCTTTTGCCAAGACGCTGCAGGGCAATAGACGAGAGTCCTCATAGTCCTGCTGGACTTAGGTGCGCGATTGATGTAGGGGGGTTGCCATGCAGCGTGGTCCTCGTGTGGCCGCGGCTCTCACTCACTGTAGAGGGACAAGCTCCAAGAGAAGAACCCCCACTCCCCGGCTTCCCCCACTTCTATAGGCCTAGGCTTGGAGCACACTTCGTTACCATTCCCTACCCCACCTTTAGTCCGACTGTAGTGCTATCAAGGAATTGATGGGTTTGGGCGAGCACGTGACAAGGAGCTGCTGAAGCTAATGCAAACTCTGCGACAAAATGTGAGCTGTGGCAGCTGCCTGCAGCATGCGCCGTAGCATTCGGTTGCGCTTTGCCACTTTTTTGCTGTGCTTTGCTGAGTGCGTGGGGCAACCAACTTAAGACTACCTGAAACTAAGTTGTCTTCGAGCGTTTGCCCAGCCAAGCGCCATGCTTTGTTGGCTTCGTGCTTGAACTGAAGCTTCATCACGCGGCATGCTCCCAAGCTATAGTATTGGCAATCGGGAAACTCGCATGCAGGGCGAGTTGCCGATGACAGCCACTCCAGGCTTGACTGTCTTGCAGCAAGAAGTGGGGCCTGGGAATTTGTTTAGGGTTCCTGTGGGTTCCATAAGGGAAATATCGGGTCATTTTGGGAACAGGCATTTTGATCAACTGCAACTACCAAGTGACACAAATAGCCCGTGTCATGTATGTGGGGCTGCAGACTTTGAAAAATTTGCTACTTGGGATGTTCCCCTTATTCAAACAGTCCTTAATAGGGATTACAATCAGGGGGTACTATAATCACTACTAGCCCTTAACAGGGATTACAATAAGGGGGGGTACTAGAATCACAATTAAGGACTGTCAGCATAAGCGGGAACATGCCAACTGGCTACCGTGGGGCGGTTTAGGGTTTAGGCTTTAAAGCTGAGACAAGCCTGTGCAAAAGGGTTTAGGGTTTAGGGTTTAGGGTTTAGGGTTTAGGGTTTAGGGTGCCCAGGCCGAGCCAGTACCAGACGGCGACTCTGAGAACTCTCGGCCCCTGAAGGCCCAGGACTTGGAGGTTCATTGGTGCTTAGAACCCCAATTATAAGTGGTTGAGGGTTTAGGGTTGAGGGTTTAGGGTTTAGGAGGTTCGTGGGTACTTATCACCACAATTAGAAGTCTATTGCAACCTCCTTAGAGGACTTAGGGGGCTTAGGGGGCTTGTAAGTGCAGTTCTAATTGGGGTTGTAAGTACCCTGAACGTCCAAGTATGATCCACTGCTCCGACAACCCTTTCGCCTCCAAGAGGCTGGAGGGTTGTTAGCCCTAAACCCTAAACCCTAAACCCAAAACGCTAAAAGGATCTTTGTGGCTGATGCATTTTGGTAGTGCCTGCAAAGTTAGCAGGGCTGCCTGCAATCCCTACAATACCCATGTACGATGTCGGGGTGCGGCTCAGATCAGGAGCGCGGGGCCACAAGGGCTTGCGGTTTGAGCCCTGGGTCCATGGGGTGTATGCATTCCGCAGTCTACTAATTCGGAACCTAAGCCTGTGAACCCGCGAAGTTGTCGAGCCTGCGTCCCGTGAAGTTTCAAGCAGAACGGCAGCAGGACTTCGTGTTGGATGACTGCCAGAGAGTCAGCCACCAATGCCCAAAACTTAGGCAAAGCGAGCGAGTGAGAGGAATTAGGGCATTCTGGACTTCCCGAGCTGTTCTGTGGGTTTGAAGCAATTGTGCGAATTCGTCAGCTTGCTGAAGAGGCAGCGGCACTCCCCTCCACACCCTCTACCGAAGGTAGACAGTGTGGGAATTTGACCTGCACCTGGCAGGCACTGCGCGATTTAAAGCGGAGACTCCGAGGCTCCCAGGTTCTTTGTGGATCTTGCGTTCGGCTGACGAAACTGTCATTACAATCTGATTGTTGATTGCAGGACCTGCTCTCAGAATCAAACCAGATCTGTTCCACATGAGGACGCCTGCCAATTCGGGACAGCGTTGAGCCACCTTGGGTTCAAAAATTGCGCCTGTGTGCGCAGCCCTGTACAAAGAGCTTGAAGTTTGCAAGTTCACCAGCATGCTGGGAAACAAATGGCTGGCAACGTGCAGCCGCCTCAGGCTGCTCTGCCCAAAAGGCACGCACCTGGGGTAGGAATGGTAGGACTCGATCCGGTAGGATGTGAATTCAAAAAAGCAACTGCGCACTGATCATGTCGACCTCGCAAATCTCGTCCGGAGTCTGTCAGCGCGGCTACGATGCGCCTGAACGCCTGCGTCAATGTGCTCAAGCTCCGCATGCAGACAGCATGCGTCGAGCACCATGGGCACAGGCCGGCAGCTTGCTAGCGTTGTAGGTTGCTGCGCCTCATGCCCCTTCAGATGAGTGTCTGCGATCGAAAAGCTGGAATCACAGGCATCTCCACCGCGCTGATCTATGTGGGCACAGACGGCTCCTCAGACCACGTGTCAACGACTTCCGTCGGGGTTCATACGCTCGGGTTGGGGTAGGTTGGACTCTAGTTAGTTCTTCACTTCGGATGCAGGATTCCAGCTTGGGATTTGGATGGTTCTAGTTGCATCGGAGATGTTGGAAAAGGCTAGCTTGTAGTCCGTAGAATCGTCGAAGACGCTTGATGCCACTATACTTTAGCTTTCTGTGATGGGGAGAATTCGCGAGAGGTTTCGTGAAGGCAGCACAGCCCTCCAGAGCATCCAGAATGGAGATGCCGGGGATGACACATGATGGAAAGTACATGGGACAAGGCCAGGCAAACCAAACTTGTCCGGTCATGAGTTCTCGTGAGCAAGAGAGAACGAGGGGTAGGGTTCCCACGTAGATATTCGGGTTCTGTAACACATGCGGTCCCGTGTTGGGTACCCTAAATCAAAGGCATGTAGGTAGAAGAAGAAAAAAGGTACAAGAAGAAACCCCAAAGGGATCACAATACAGAAAACCGCCCCTCCCCCCTCAAGAGATTAAGAAGCAACCGCTTTGACTTTACCAGCAAATCGACTCCTTGGAGTCAAGCGACCCCGATCTAACGATACGATAAGAGAAGGAGAAAACAGTATACCTTGGCAGGCCCAGGGAATGCTTAAGTTAACTTTTTGGGGCACGGGGCTCCCGGGCTACCCCGGATGGGGTTAGGTGAGCGGTATGCCTGTCTTAAGCATCCCCAAGGGCCGTTTGAGTATTGAAAATCAAGTCCTGGAGCCTGTTGGCGTGCGTTTGGAACTCAGCAGTCGTGTATGAAGAAATCTGAAAGATGGCATCTTGGACGCCGCTTGACATGCCTGTGGCCAGAATCTAGCCCTCCTTGCTGGTGCTCAGCGCAGCCCAATTTTGCAGTCTTGCAGGCTCGCGCAACCCATATTTACGTCTGGAGTTCAAGTTGTCGGGCTTGGGCTTGTTGAAGAGAGCCTGCTCTCAACTGGCCGTTCAGCTGATCTTGAGCTACGTTCGGTTTTTTCCTGTTCTTCGCCTAGTCTTCTTCTTTTTCGTCTTTTTCCTGCTCACCTCTCCCGGCGAAATGCCAGGAGGGTATGTGGGAAACTACAGGAAGCTTCGCGGTCATGGGTGGGGAAACGGCCTAAGGGAAACCAGGAGGGCGGGAAAAGCTTGTCTCGAGCACTGCCAACGGGGGGCCCCCACATGCTTAAGATAGGCCGGAGGGTACGGGAGGCTACAGGAGGCTGCGGGAAGCCACGCGGCCCACCACACCGTTAAGGCCTGGGAATGCTTAAGACAGGCCGAAACGGCGCGGGAGGTTACGGGAAGCTACGGGAAGGCACGACGGCCCCCCACACCGTTAAGGCCTGGGAATGCTTAAGACAGGCCGAAACGGCACGGGAGGCTACAGGAGGTTACGGGAAGCTACGGGAAGCCACGGGGGCCCACCACACCGTTAAGGCCTGGGAATGCTTAAGACAGGCCGAAACGGCGCGGGAGGCTACGGGAGGTTACGGGAAGCTACGGGAAGCCACGGGGGCCCACCACACCGTTAAGGCCTGGGAATGCTTAAGACAGGCCGAAACGGCGCGGGAGGCTACGGGAGGTTACGGGAAGCTACGGGAAGCCACGGGGGCCCACCACACCGTTAAGGCCTGGGAATGCTTAAGACAGGCCGAAACGGCGCGGGAGGCTGACTCTGACCTTCCCCCCCCGACCCTCCCTCCTTCCTTTCTGGATTCCTTCCCGGGCACTCGCCCTTCAATTCGCCCCTTTTCGAACCCCTTCCGCCACCTGAACACGCGTCTCATCACCTTCTTCCTGGAGCGCTTGCCCTTGAAGTCGCCCCGAACACACGCATCATCCCCGAATTGGACCCTTCCCCGCGCTTGCCCGCCAATTCGCCACTGTCTTTTGCGTTGCCTTGTCCTACACATCTCTCCACACGTTGCCCTCGTAAACTTGAAATCAACATTCCTCTCAGCTCCAATTCGCCCCCATGCCTACACGGGCCTTGCCCGCAAATTCGCCCCTGTCTTAAGCATTCCCTGGGCTAGCCAAAGTATACCATAAACATATATAGCAGAAATACCCTCTATCATGTCACAACAATGTAAATAGAACATGAAGATAGCATGATCACGCAAAATCATGGTAGCAATATATCAATATACAAATATACCACTAATACAACGAAGAACAACAAACAACAATACGATACTGCGAGAATGCAATAGTACAATAATACAACAATGCAAGAATTCAACAATACACTAATGCAACACTACAATGGTACAACAATGCAGTAATACAATAATGCGGTAACACAAGTACTGCAAGAAGGTGTGAGGAAATATAAATGCAATAGTGCAGTAAGGCAACTAGAAAATAAAAAGACAATAAGACAACAATACCCCAATCTCATCATATCATCGTATCATAATATCATAATCTCATGTTATCAGAATATCATAGTACGATAATGTCATAATATCATCGTATCAGAATATCGCAATATCACAGTATCATATTGTCACAATGTCATACTGTCAGAGTGCAACAATATCAGACGATCATATTGTCATGATATTATAATATTACAATGCCAGAACCTCATCATAGAACCCCATCATAATGCCAGAATACCAAAATGTATTTACACATACTCGTATAAGACATATGTCATAACATATTAAGAATCAAAATGTCACACTTTTGATTGACCATCTTTTCTTCCTTCGTCTGCATTGGATGTCTCCATGACACAATGAATCCCAGAAATCGCTCCTGGAAATGCGCTGCCACGCATGGAAGCAGGGAAACACCTTGAACAACTGCGGAAGTCACCAGGTCGGCATCCCGAAATGCTGGGACCGCGGGATGGCACGGAAGTTGATGAAGGGTTTAGGGTTTAGGGTTTAGGGTTTAGGGTTTAGGGTTTAGGCGGGTTTAGGTTCCCGACAAGACACAGGAAGAGGCGGAGGTAGAAGAGAAAGCCGGACGGAATGGGACCCACGAGGCAGAAATCCAGAAGGGTTGCATCAGATACTTGGCTCAAAGATGTTCTGGTACATTCATGGGGCTCTTTTCACACCCAAGAGTCCCTCAAAACCCTCAGCCCCTCCTTTAAGCCCTTGGTGCGAAGGCGCAGGGCTGTGAGAGTTTCCCAAAGATGCGCGAGCTAGGCGCCGGGATGGCAAGAGTCGGGCCGCGGCCCTCGCCTTCGTCAGCTCTTCGGAGGCTACAGAGGCATCGTTGAGAGAAGCATCTATATTCGTATGTAATATGTAATATGTAATATGTAATATGTAATATGTAATATGTAATATGTAATATGTAATATGTTGTATGTAATATGTAATATGTAATATGTAATATGTAATATGTAATATGTAATATGTAATATGCAATATGCAATATGTAACATGTACGTAATATGCAATATGTAATATATAGTATAAAATATACAATGCATCATAAAGTTAAGGGTGCAGAAGTATCGGGTTTGCTTTAGGGTAAAAAGGGGCATGAAGAGTGAGGGTTGATGCAGAGTCGATGCACGCGTCTCTTTGGCCTCAGACGGGGGGAATCCAGGAAGGCCGCTTGAAAATCAGGGTTGGGACATGCGGACATGCATGCTCGTGCGAATATGTGCGAATGTAGCAGTCAAGGCATACAACTTGACGTTGGTTGGACAGAGGGAAAGACGCAGAAACCCCTAAACCCTAAACCCGGTCAGGGCAAGACATCTGGGGCATCTTGCGGAAGACGAAGTCCATGGAGGATGGCCAAGGCTTCCTGAGCTTTGAAGAGTCTTCACCTCAGTTGCCAAGGGCCTTTTTGCATGATCCTTCAGTCTGGAGCAGACAAGCATCCTGAGGGTGCAGGACTTCCTCTGTCTGAAGGCGTCAGGCACTCAAAGCAAGAGCTTCATGAACCGTAGGCCGATGTAGGCCGGTGTAGGCCGTGAGGATGGGAGTTGCATGACCTTGAATTGCTTCTTTCGGCTTCGTTGGGCCCCATGCTGCTCCAGTTCATGAAGTTCTGAAGCAGTGTGGCAAGGCCCAGCATGCTATTCCTGTGGGATATCTTTAGCCAGCAGAATGAGCCATGGCCTCGGGATCCATTGCGTCGAGGTGCAGGCTTGTGTGCGCCCGCCCCCAAAAGGCTCTTCAGCATCAAGGAGCTCCTCACAGTTGCGTGTGTCTTCAGCTCAGCGCTCCTGGACGAGAAGGCGGTTGGGAGAGGCGAACCCAGCAACCGCCTTTGTGGGAACCAAACTTGGCGAGGCGCGCTTCCTTCATGCCGTCTTCGATGCATCTGGGAGAGGTCTAGGCCGGGAGGGATCCACTCATGATCTGTCCGGCTCTTGAGCTAGCAGTATCCAATTCAGCATGTCGAGAGTGCCAAGACATGGATGGTAGAACGAACGGGTGACTTGGAGCAAGCAGAGTCTCCACTTCATGTGGGCCTCTCTTGCATCTGTGCTGGAAGGTACAGGCTCAGAGATCGCCTCGATCTGCCTGATGGTGCTGACAGTGCTTGGCAAAGTGACAGGTGCTGGGCTGTAAAATCTTCGAGCTTTCGAAGTTTTGTCTGAGTCAGCATCCTGGCCAGGTGCTGTGGCCAAAGCGAAGGAGGCCCTTGAGCTGCTCTCTGGCCTTGGCTTGGGCAAGTTAACACTACATTATATATATATATATGTATATGTATATGTATATGTATACTATAGAATATAATATATATATATATATATATATGTATAGTCAGCAAGTTCAGCGTGGGATGATGCATGTTTCCTGGCGGCCCAGCTCGTGCGGACCGCGGAAGGTGACACCACAGCTCATGGTGGAGCTTGAGCAGCTTGTTCCGCCCTATGCAGCAAACCCGGCGCAGCAGGGAACGTGGTCTTTCTTGTGAGACTTCGCATTAGTCAAAGGCATTTTGTTGTTGCACGTGCTTGCTTGATGCCCAGCTGTCCAGCTCCATCGAGGTCTGGGCAGTGCAGTTTAACATAGCTTTAGGGATTCCCCCAAAGGACTCATCAGCCAGCCCGCTTGGCCATGGAACTGCGGGAGGAGGAGGCGCAGAAGAAAGCGAAGTCCGTGCTTGGTGGCGTGATACAGCGTGTCTCCCGCATCCTGAACGAACGCCTGGGACGGGCAACAAAGGAAGAAGCGGCAGTGTCAGACCTCGATGAGTTTGATCCAGACGACCCTGACCTCCTTCTGCGACCCTCGGACAACATACTGAGCCGACGAGACTCGAGGTGTATCATCATGGATGCTTTCGAGCTGGGGCGAGAATTTCCAGAAGTCGAGATTGACCCAAGGCTTGTTTTCGACAACCCAACTATTGAGCAGCTCTCTCAAGCAATTGTGGATCTGCCAACGGCGCAGAGGACGAAGAGCCTTGCGAGTCAGAGCACTGCGCATCCAAATTCCAGCCATGAGATGGCTCCCTTCACTCAGTTGACCGCGGGTGGAGACATGCCTGTGATGTCTGCCCCTTATAGGGTGACTGACACGGCTGGCATGCGCTTCTCACGCATGACCGATGGCATGGAGTGCATTCGGATTCCAGAGAATACCGCCCGAATTGGGGATGACTCCATGCAGAGTGGGAACGACAACGAGGGTCCGAGTCATGAAGTGCGGCTGAGTGGCTTCTTGATGGACATTGAGCCAGTCAGCATGGGTGCTTACGCACGCTTCCTCAACATCGTGCAGCCGACGCAGGACGAGCTGTTTGACTGGTGCCTTTTACCCGCCGAAGATGCAAGGTGCTGCCATATCCCTCTCACACTCGGTGAGACTGGCTGGCAGGCGAGAATAGCTTGTGAAACGCAGATGTGGCAGATAATCGCAGATGTGTTGGCAGCATCGTTCGTGTGCATATCTCATCCCTGTGCAAGGTAAAGCCTGGAGTACCCCCAAACTGGCCAATGATCCTCGTGTCTTGGTACGGGGCCAATGCTTACTCCCTCTGGGCATGCTGGCTGCACTCAGGGGGTCCAACTGTTGTCGATGCTGCATTACTCATTCCTCACATTTCTTCAGGATGTTGACTGAGGGGACGTCTGCTTGCAAGGCCGCACAAGTTGAACTGCGTAGAAGTGATGCTCTCCACTTAAATAAACTTCAAAGTAGAGAGCATTCAGGAGTTCTTCCTTCTAGTTGATGTTTTTCATTAACTGGGTGTGTCTCTGTATAAACATGCATAATGTGCATTCATGTGCATACACGTATATGCAGACACGTATATGCGTACACACATTTCTGTGCATGCAATGTCTCGCGCGCAGGCAGTTATGTGACTTGTGCTTGCATGTCTCTGCCTACCACTACACAAGGCTTAAGATGTAGGGAACTTTTGCTGTGTGTGTATGCAGAAGGTATGTATGTATGTCTGTCTGTCTGTCTGTCTGTATATATATATATATATGTGTGTGTTTTTCTAGTTCTACATTATATCATCCATGTACGAGTGCAGATGTGTATAGATGTGGCAGTGTATTTGCCCGTAAATGGAATGGAATGTAGGCAAATCGTGCATGCTGCAGTGCATCGACTTCAGGCTCCGAACCTTTTAGCCGCTCAAAAACGCCAATCGTCAGTAAACCCATGCTCTTGCAGCCTGTCAAGACGAGAAATGACCCAGCGTCAACCGACAGTGTTTCAGTCTTCAGCAGACCTTGTTCTGTCACGGTCCAGTTGCAGCTTTCATGAGGCATGATGATTGCATCTGAATCTTGCCAGGCACATGGCCACGACTGGCGAAGCTACAGGGGTGCGCAGCAGAGCTTTTTGCCGACAGAAGCCCAGTGGGAGTATGCCGCCCGTGGTGTTGAGTCGGTACAGTACCCGTGGGGCAACGACACAGCCACGGCTGAGTTATTGAATGTTTGCTGGGATACGAGTACCTATGACAGCAAAGGGAACGTCGCAGCCCATGTGGCAACACCCCTTGAGGAGTTGCCCCTTGTCGGCGTGAATGTGCAGTTGGGGGTGTCACCGTTTGGCCTTCGAGGTATGGCAGGTAACGTGTGGCAGTGGTGCCGCGATACCTACCACAGCAACTTCTATCTTGCCACAGATGCAACATTGCCAGATGCCTGGAATTCCGAAGAGGGCGCTTTGAAGAGCGAGCGGGGAGGAAGTTGGGTGGGCCCCGCATCGCACCCCGGCCTCACTTGAGGGTTGTTTCTGATAAGGTTCTTCGGGAGATATCCTACTGAAGAAACAATCTCGCTGCCACTGCTGCTTTCTGCTTTAGTTGTAGGAGTATGACTGCCACGGGATGCTGCAACCACTGCTGATGCTGTTGCCGCACATGTTGACAACATGTCGCTCAATTGATTCCACGCATGCAAGAGAATTTCCTCTTGTAGGCTCGCCCGGAGCAGCTATCGAAGGGGCAGACACCCAGAGGCAGGGTTCATGGGGAGCACGAAACTTCAAAACTTCACTAACCAGTTAGGGATCATGCGCACATGTACATCTCTCTGTTTACAAGAAGCATCAATCGATTTGTTTTGGGGGGGTACAACGGCAACCCTAAACCCTAAACCCTAAACCCTAGATGTCTTGTGCGAGTGTGAGCGACTAAACCCTAGATGAACTGAGGGCATGTCCTGATGTCGGTAGTGTCGTTACCTTTGCGCAGTATCACGCCGTTAGCTGAGTAACAGTGTCCAGTATCACCCGAGCCGGTATTGGCCACATGTGCTGAGTAGGCCCTCAAGAGACCCATGGGACAGCATGCACCTCGCCTGGCTTGTCCGAGTGTGAGCGATTAAACCCGGGTCAGCTAGGCGGGCGGCCAAAAAACCCCTAAGCAACTGGCAACTTTGAAGGCCAAGGGCCGCTGCTTGGGCTTCCGCTGCACCGCGCCAACCTCCCTCCTCGGAGACTGAGGTAGCAGCCTCTGAGACTTGGGAGGTTCCCCCCTTATACTAGCAGTCCTTAATGGGGATTGCAATAGGGGGTCCTAGAATCCTTAGAAGGGGGAACATCCCAATCTGAGATAATCTGAGAATGTAACTCTCTTTGTGTAGGGGCCTTGGAAATGTTGGCAAAATGCTCCTCGCCGTCTGCATGGGCTGAGAATGGCGCTGAGAAGCAAAAGTCTTCCATCACGCCTCATCACGCCATCTCCCTCAAAATGCAGCTGCCAACGGGCCAACAGCAAAGCGCAGCACTTCACTGTAGTTGTAACATGCTTTAACGTTTCAAGCACGAGTCCAGAGCAGAAAAGCCTCGCGAGAGCTTCTGGGCTTTGGTGCCTTTGGCGCCTTCTCCCTCGTTCATGGCTTGGGGAGCCCAGGCTGAGGCTGTGCAGGTCTATGGAAGCAAGGAGGCCTTTCAGCGAGAGCGCGTGGCGCGCACAGGAAGCAGAGATTTAGATCCTTCTGTGGCATTCCGTGGACCCAGGGTTTCTCTCTGGCTCTGCAGCCATGTTCGGAGTTGAGGTCATCGGCCAGTTGGAGCTGGATCGGATACTGACACCTTCTGCTTGGATCTCAGTTCGGGTCCAGGACTGGAGACGAAGCTGCGAGTACGTGCGTGTGTGTGTGTGTGTGTGTGTGTGTGTGTGTGTGTGTGTGTGTGTGTGTGTGTGTGTGTGTGTGTGTGTGTGTGTGTGTGTGTGTGTGTGTGTGTGTGTGTGTGTGTGTGTGTGTGTGTGTGTGTGTGTGTGTGTGTGTGTGTGTGTGTGTGTGTGTGTGTGTGTGTGTGTGTGTGTGTGTGCGTTGGCCTGGTTTCAACTCTGAGCTCTGAGATTCGGGACGCTTACGAGACCTTGCCTTTGACAACGGAGCCACTGACTGACACAGAGCCTCCGCCAGAGGCACAGCATTGAAAGGACCTAGTTAGAGGAAGAATCAGGTCGGAGTCTCTTCGAGTGGCTGTTGAGAGAGCTCCCCCCTTGCCGCCCTTGCTGTTGAGGTCCATCCTGGTGCAATGTATTCTTACCCTCACGTTCACTCTCAACCGGCCCCCATCGGCAATTTGATCAATTCTTAATTTTGGATCTCGATGACGGGATGTGTTCTCCCGCATGCTTCAGGGCTGAGCCGGGGCTGGTGATTCTTGTTTTTTTTGTTTTTTTTTTCTCTCTCTCTCTCTCTCTCTCTGTCCCTCTCTCTCACTCTCAGTTTGATCATCGCACCCCGGAGCCCGGCTTCTTCCCCTTTTTCCCCTACTCTTGCTGCAAGGCGAAGGATGCCCTTCTTCCCTGAATCAGTGCCCTGATGTGTCCTGACATGTCCTGAGGCCACCTCCAGGCTGGGCAAGCACTCTCAAATCTGTGGCGCCCGCTCCCCGGCGGTCCTAGCAAGTCGAGCAGCTCCTGAACCATCCTGCGCATCACGTGCACATGGCGCGCTCCCACCGATGAAGCCGGCCCAGGCGAGCCGCGCCAACGGCGGCAGTCTGAGCATTCCTCGAGCTTTCGACGTTCCTAGCAGGTTCTAGCAGGTTAGCGGCACTGCGGCGAAAGCACAGCAGAGCTTGGCAGCTCAGGAGGATGTGCAGTCCGTCCGGCGCGACCGAGCCATCACCCCATCCTGCTGTGTGTGTGTGTGTGTGTGCGCATGGGTGTTAAGCCTCTTTGTCAGACCCTATGTTGAAAGACACCTGTGAGGAAACCCTAGTCTAGAGCATGTTTGGAAGACTGGCTGAGGACCAGAAGGAGCCGAAAGACTTCTTGCCTCCTGGTGCGGACTCCTCAAAACTGGACCTGCTGAATTCATTGGGTGGGCGCCACATGGTGACATCTCCAAGTCACGGTCCCTTTCGGGCGGATCATGGTGACCGTAGGCGGCCCCCTTTATTTAGAGTTTAGAGTACCGACAAAGGGACCAGTGACTTAGAGAACTTACCACATTACGACCTTCGCAAGATTTCGGAACTGCGAAAGCGTCTCTAAGACCAACCCTGCGGAGAAGCACCTGGCATGGATGTGGCGAGCTCAAAGCCGTGGCATGGTGATAGCGGGGGGCTGTTCTGAATTTGACAAAAGCTGTGTTAATTCATGGGGACTTCAGTTTTCAAGGATATTCAAGGTTGCTCAGGCGATCTTATCAATGATCTTGTCAGAAGCTCAGAACAGCCCCCAGATTACATGTGCATCTGTGTGGTGATGAGCGCATGTCCCAGGGCCAGCTTGCTTGCCCACTCGTAGGGGACATTTGGCTGAAGCCTCTGCTCCCAGACTCCCTCCCCCAACTCACGAATTGTCCACGAGCATATGGCTTCGGATGACAGCGCCAAAGGCGCCAATGCCCGCTGGATTCGACATAATCGAGGATGGCTTCTATGTCTCCGTCTTCCACGCGACTCCCCGGTGCTGCAGTGTGCCTCAGCTTGGCAAGAAAAGTTGCTTGGGCTTTCCAGTGACTTCCAGCATCTGTGACCGCCTAGGTGCTGCGAATGTCATCGACGAGACGCTGCAGATGGAGGGGGCAGATATGTGCAGAGACCGCTTGCTTGAGGAGGAGGGCAGCGAGCGCCTGATGAAAGTCCTTGGTGCCTTCTGGCCAGGTGAGCCATATGCGTTGCAGCTGTCCATTGGCACGTGCTCTGGTGTTGGAGTGGGCCCCCGGAAGCAACATCGCATGCGTGTGACGTGGCTCGCGCTGGCCTTGAATCTACTCATGCGAACGAGCGAAAGCCGCATGAAGCTGCGCGAAATGTTTCACCGCTACGGTGGGCTTGAGGCATTGGCTGCCGAAATCTGGTGTGCCCCGGAATGGTCCGCTTCTGTTTCTAAGCCCTCTGAGACCTCCGCGCCGATGCCCAAGATCCCGGAGACGCCCAGCCCAGAAGACAACTACGACTTTGCGGCCGGCCTGCTCGGCCTTCTGACGTTCCGTCAAGGTGGAGTGCTCGAGTTTACCGCGCCGTTGGGTCATGGCCTGAGTCCTTGGCCTGAGGATTGCTGAGGTGTAGTGTCCTGTTGTGCATTTCTTGAAGTGCAAGCTTCACCGAATGCTGCGGGCCCACCGAGCTTTTTCTGTGGCCGTTTGCACGACTTCCAGCTGCTGGGGTACAGAGTTGACCAGCAGACTTGCACGGAGCCTCGCGGAGCGGCTGTTCCGAGCAAGTGTTAAAAAAAGGACGCCCAAACACCGGATTCAAACCCTAAAGTGCCCCCGTGCCCCCAGAAGGCCACCGACACCTAGTGACAGTCACCATGCAAAGGAGCCGGCTGGAGGAGAGCACCAACTTCTCGGTGGATGCCGAGCCTTGGCAACAAGAGCCACTGGTGCCCAGCCACATTGACATGTTCTGGCACGGGGTGTAGCGATGTACCGTGCTGTTGTTTTTGTTGTTTTCGCGTGGGTTTCGGGTTGTTTCTTTGGTTGTTTCATCTGTCGCTGCCTTTGTTGTTGCATGTGTCGTTGTGTCCGTCAATTCAGTTGTTGGAGGTGGTGATTTTTTGGGTGATTAGTGCTGGACATTTTCCGTTGTCTCCGCTCATGCCTTTTGCAATTTTTCCGCAACTTCTATTGCATGTGCTGTTGCATGTGTGTTGTACTGATTATGGCGTTTACTGCTTTACTTGTAGTTGTACTTGTCGTTTCGCAGAGCAGAAGCAGCAGTGCCCAGGGTGGCGATTTCGCTCCAAATCTGTGCCCCATGACGGCGAGAACCGCGCCTCCCCCCCCAATGCACAACAATTTCGGGAAACAATTATGTCATGATACTATACGTAGCCAGACCTCCGCTGAGGTGGGGGTGGCGGTGGTAAGGGTAGGGTGGTAATTAAGGGCAGGGGTGGTGGTAGCAGGGCGGTCGGGGTAGGGGTGGTAGGGGTGGTAGGGGTGGTAGGGGTGGTCGGGGTGGTCGGGGTGGTAGGGGTGGTAGGGGTGGTAGGGGTGGTAGGGGTGGTAGGGGTGGTAGGGGTGGTAGGGGTGGTAGGGTGGTTGGTTGGGGTGGTGGTGGGGGTGGTGGGGGTGGAGGTGGAGGTGGTGGTGGCGGTGGGGGTGGGGGTGGGGGTGGGGGTGGGGGTGGGGGTGGTGGCGGTGGTGATGGGTGGTGGTGGTGGTGGCAGTGGCGGGGGGGGGGGGGGGGGGGGGGGGGGGGCGGCGGTTGCGCTTGTTCAAAGTGGTCTTGGCGGCCCGGGCCCGATTCTGATCGACTGAGTATAGCATACCTGTTCAGGGATTTTGAATTGGAACCCGCATGCTCAAAAATAGTCACCGTGCGATGCAATGATCTTGGAATGCTAGAATGTTAAAACACACTTGTAATCTAGTGCACAAAAATTGCCCCAAGGCTGTACTGCAACAATGTGGACCATGAGTTTTCATCCAATCTGAGGATGCCTACGGTGACCTGGCCCTGGGCTCATGTGTTGGGTCCCAGTTCCCACTGGCCAATTTACCATTGACCTGCTTTTTGCTCCCAGGATGCCACAGTGTCATGACCCAAGCTTTGGCTCGCCAGTCTAGCTCAAATCGTTTTCCGCGTTGCGGAAGCGCTATGAAGCGCTTGATGTGAGTTTTTTTTTGATTGTCCGAGCGTTCTGCCAGCATCTTTTCAGGGGCGCCCAAGCAGTGACGGGTCAGCAATAGAACCCAAAATTCTGCCCATGCTCCGATGGCAGCAGAACGAGGTGGGCATGTCGCCACTTGTTGTCAGATGCGTGCTTGACCCAGGCACCGGTGGCTGATCATGCAGAACCACGAGTTCTCATCCATTGCGAAAGTTCATTGCTTAGCTTCAAATTTGTCCGTGCGAATTGGCGAAATCCACATCCTTTGATTTGGCATGATTTGGCACCACAGTTTGCGTGTGAGTGCCATGGCTAACATTCAAGTCGCCCAGGATTTGCCTGGATTCCGACATACCTTTTGCAAAAGTGTGATGTCCTTGGAATTACACGGGAGGGGGGGGGGGCAGGGCGGCCCAACAATTTGCATGCTTCTGTGTCCAGGTTTGTTCTTCACTGGGTTTGCCAGCAAGTGGCAATTGCGCCAGCACCTTATCATGCCCTTGCAGTTGATGGCAGGGTTTGGCTTGGCTACATAAAGTGCATGTAGTTGCTGCATGTGTTGTGCAGCAGAGCAGGTGGAGGTCGTGAATGTCACAAATGGCAGCGCGACTGTAATCATCGCAGAGTCGGAAGCTCGCAGCCATTCGCGGCCAGAAGCTACGAGCCTGGCGGCCTATCGTGTTGCGCGTCGCCCAGGTTCCTGATGCGGCCCCGCTCTCACACAGACTCGCGCAGCGGCTTAGCAGGGCACCAAGTATTTCGTGACTTGTAATCCCCTCACCTTGAAGAGCTTCATGGAAGCAACAAAAGCGCAACATGGTGTCCGCAATCTAAAAAGATGAGGAGGCCGTTGTTTGGAGGGGGTTAAACACCTGAGGAGCTTGCCCAACTCTTGGAGAAGCAGATTGCCTCACCATACAGTGCGCTGCGGAGGGGGCCGTCCCTTCCTTATTGTTTGGTTTGGGAGTTGAAATTTGGCAGGGAAAAGTAGTGAAGAAACACCTCGTTGCATGCAGCATGGCTTAGGATGGGCAAATACCTTGGTAGCGCCTTCCTGCTTTCAGCAGCACCCCAGACGGTGTGTGGCCGCCTCAGTTTTCAAATCACGTCAATGGCACCCCCAAACCCGTAGCCCAACACTTAAAAAACCCGCAACCCTGAACCCTGCACACTGCGAGCGTGACAGCCGAACCTTGCGCTCATCGCTTTGAACGCTGGGAGGTGACAGTGAGCTCCTGGGCGTTGAGGAATCCCAAGGCCGGTTTCTCATAAGGCAACAGTTTGAACATCCATTCGGGTTTCCCACAGTTCAGGTCGTACCCATGTTGGGGGGGTAAGAGCAAGTAGCATATGTTGGGGGCATATTCGGGGTGCCATGGGGTACCCGAAGTTTTGGGTAAATTCACATGTTTCATTTGCGCCGCAGCCGTTGGAGGATAAGTTCCGCAGAAGGCGTCCAAGCAAAGACATGCCACCAATAGGACAAACGGCTGCAGATCCTTTTCCCATGGAATTAGACGATCCATTCTCCAAGGGAAAGTGCAACCCGGGATTCGGGGGTTCGCTTCAACCATGTTCAAATTTAGGGCCCCCCTTTTGGAACCTTCTGTAGACGGGATCCTATTGTCAACGGAGGGGGCTCCGCTTCAGCATTGTGGGGATTGGTTTTGCATCAAAGGTTTTGGGTCTACCGCTGGGTTTAGGACTTTTTAACGACACCCTAAACCCTAAACCCGAAACCCGAAACCCTAAACCCTAAACCCTAAACCCTAAACATCATGGGACTGGTTCTGGCCGCCTCTTGCGCAGCGGAGCTCGGATCTTGCCGGTGGCTCACTCCTGGTTTGGGACACTTCTCACATCTGCATGGAGGATGTAGGGGGGCCACCATACCACGTTCTAAGAGTTCCACTAAGCTAGGGCAGGTGATGGAAGGCCCGAAACTTGCATCTCAATTTCTGTCTGACCCTGGCAGAGACAACTTTAGTCAGCTGCGAATGGAGTTGGTATGAGCTGAGGGCTGCACTCAGACCTGTAAGACTGTAAGAGTCAGCTGCAAGTCCCGTGATTTTCAAGCCAATCAGAAAGAAAATCAGAAGGCTGAATCCTCCGGCCCTGACTTGTGAAGCAAGGTCAGCCGCTTACTCCTCGACTCTTTCGGCTGAGCAGCTGCAGCTCTGGCTGGCTCTTCCTGGACTGCCCAGCTTGCATCTGGAGCCTGTGGCCGAGATCCTGGAGCAACGAGGCTGCCAATTTGAGCTCTTGCCAGAAAAGACGAAAAGACAAGAGGGTAGCACATACTGGAGTGTGTTGCTTCATGCATTCTCGTAAACATGGGCTGCTTGGATGCTCTAGATCAGTGTCCGCCCTTGATGATGCGACTTCTCGTGCGACTCCCATGACTCATCTGTTGTGTGCAGCTGCCGCTTGTTCAGTTAGGTGGTTGGGCTCATGTCGGGTAGTCCTTCAGAGATTGACATGGTGCCACAAGGACCAAGTTTGTTTGCGGATTGCCAACAATCAGCTCGTTCGCTCAGGTCCACGGGAGAAGGTGGGAATTATGGAGATATCGTACCTGGCTGCATTCCGAGGTGACAGAATAAACGATATACCTTAAACTATGTAGCGTCCATCCGTGTGGCTTTTGGCGGCTGCCTGGCTGACCTGTGCAAGGTCCGAGTGCACATGGCTCTTGACGACGCAGCTCATTTGCAATCCAAGGCTACTGCAACAGAAGTCGTGGATACTAGCAGCCTCATACACTACCGACCAAACGGCCTTGTGGCTCTGGCCAGAACGAGGTACCTCTTCCAAGCGTCATCGCTAAGCAGATTCGGCCCAAAGCAATCCAGGAGGCTCCATGCAGAATATGTGGACTTGCGATGACTCAAGCCTGGATCGGGAGCTTCAGCGGAGTGGTGTCGTGCACAGGGGTGTCGTGCACAATTGCAAGTCAACCTACGGCTACAGACAACAAGTGCCGAGGTTGGCTCGGACCTGCTGAAGCTCACCGAGCATGATCGCTTCATCGAGGGATTCCATGTTGAGGTCCCAACATCCAGAGGGTCAGACTTCATGAACTGCTGCGATCTCCTGCGCGTCTCGTGCTTCAGCTGATTGAGGCAGCTGCTTACAAGAACCTCTCCAAGGAGCTTAACGCGGCCAAGCTTACAGCTCCCCGCATCTCAGAAGCAATTTGCAACATTCGCGAGGATGAGAAGTTTCCACTTTGTGGGAAAGGGGGTCAGGGCAAATCAAACAAGGATCAAACAAATTCAAAATGGCATCAAAAAACGTCAAAAGCAATCGAAGAAACTTGTTGGAAGGAAGGAAGGAAGGAAGGAAGGAAGGAAGGAAGGAAGGAAGGATTGAAGGAAGGAAGGCAGGAAGGAAGGAAGGCAACCCAATTCACATTAGGTTTTGATCCCGATACAAAAAATCGCCAGAATAACAGGCTTTTTCGGTGTGGGCAGCGGGTTGTCGGGCTTTTGGGGTTGGCATCCTTGGAGCTGTGTTTAGAGGCTTAAACGTGCTGTGGCTTACAATCCCTGGTCGAAATGCACGGCGTGTGCAGCATTGCAACCAAGACTGCGCAGGTTCTTTTGTTTTTTGACCTTTGTTTGATTTCTGGATCCGGTGATTTTGATTTTGCTTCTCTGATCCTTGTTTCAGACACGGCGTGTCGCAGCCTTTTACGCTGCAAGTAGGGGTGATTGAACATGGCCTTTGAGGGAACCTGTCAGTTCGAGGACTGCTGCATGCCGAAGAAGTTGAGATTGGCGAGCCCTTCATTCTGCTCTTGGAGGAGCAGGGACAACATTTTGAGAAGAGTGGCAACTTGAGTGAAGCTGAGATTCAAGTTTCGGCTTGGCAGCCCTACGGCTCGTGTTGTGCCTCTGTCTAGGTGGGCATGCTCTTTACAATCCTTCAAACACCCTTGGTACAACTGGCTGGTTCTTAGTAGGGAATGAAGGAATGAGGTACCCTATAGAAAACCTTAAAGGGTATACAGGGCCCTCCTTCCCCATTCCCTACTAAGAACCAGGGGGACAATGGTTCCCAACCAGGACCTCTCGCCACGCTTCCCGCGGGGCGCCGACGCAGAGGTCCGTCGCTTTCTCCCCGGCGAGACGGCTGCGGCATTGAGGCCGACAAGATCGGACGGAAGGGTTTTAGGGGTTAGCGGGGTTTGGGCTTCATTTCAATGGGTTAGGGCTTCTTTGTGCGACTACATGTGTTATTCAGCTTTAGGGTACCAACGCGTAGTGTGTGCATTTTCCATCATCTTCCATTGTGCAGGACCACCTGTAAAATCGAATCTCTCTTCAATTCGGGCCCCCTTTTAGGCAATCAGTGTTTGGTAATTAGAAGCCTCTTCTAGGAAGTGACAAAGAGGGTGCCCTGATTGTCAAACAACCCTGAGGGAGCGAACTTCAACTTGAGGCACCGACACGTGACTACCTAGTAGTGTTTGGGCTTCAGGCTTGAGGGCTTAGGGGAAAAGTGAGTAGGGCAAGCAGACCTGAGGGTGAAGCTTAAAACCTTCAGCCCGGTTCTTCGGATGACGAGGTGGCTGGCCGGTTTCCACGCACACTTCTGGGAGATACTTGGCGAAGCCTGCCCAAACTTTCGTATCATCTCCCTGATGTTGAACCCGCAAGTTTCAGAATAGCCTCAGCCGCACTTGGTTGAACTAAATTCTGGTACTCTTCTGATCTCCTAAACCTAGACTGTAAGGAGTGCACTGGTTCTGTGTGGGGAGTGAGGGCCACTGAATCCCTACCCTACCCCTACCTTGCCCCTACTTGCCGTGCCCAAACCCTCCCTACCCCTTCCCAACCCCCTAACCCCTTCCCTGACCCCCCACCCCTACCCCTGCCCCTACCCCTGCCCCTGCCCCTACCCCTACCTCTGCCCCTACCCCTACCCCTACCCCTACCTTTGCCCGCAGTAGTTCAATGTTTCGAGCCGAGGACTCCGTTCGCAGAGGAGCGCGGGCTTTGGGGGCGAGGTAGCTGCAAGGCAGCAGTGATCCAAGGCCACCACTTGCCAATAGGGTCCTGTTTAGGGTTTAGGGTTTAGGGTTTAGGGTTTAGGGTTTAGGGTTTCGGGTTTAGGGTTTCGGGTTTCGGGTTTAGGGTTTAGGGTTTAGCGGCTAATGCCTGCTAATGCAAAAGGCAACCGATCCTTTCAAGCACTTCCGAGTTCATCAGTGTCTGCTTGGAGCACAGAGTTGGGTGAACCCCTCCCCCCCCCCTTTCCGGACGTAAATTTCATGGGGACATAAGAACTTGCTGGGCCTGGCCCACGCATCCAAGTATTGTCTCTTGTCCGAGGCTACTGGATCTTCGACAAGCTCGGTCGGCAGCTTGCTTGCAAGCGACACGGAATCATAAATGAAAAGAAGCAACGAATGTCCACGCCTGTGTGCGCACAGGTTGCAACTCGACGCCCTGCCTGCTGACTTTAGCAATCGCTACCTCACACTTCAGGACAATGGGTTGAGTGGCACAGGCCTGCATCAAGAGAGGCAATGCGTGTCCTGCTCAGAGCTGTGTAGGGCTAGGACTTCTTTCATGACAACCCTGCGATGGCTCCCGGCTCCGTCATTTTTGCTTACACCATTCTACAGGGTATTTTGCGGCGCATGGCATGTCCAAGAAGCCCGAAACCCTAAACCACCCTGAGCCCTGGTTCATTCTCCTCCAGGGATGCCAGAAGAATGGGTCGAAATTTTGACAGAGGAAACCCAGCGGCTCCGTCGAGCGGCGCCTGCGGTAGATGAACGCCTGGCCGGGCACCTTCTTGTGGTGCGGGGGCGGGGGGGGGGGGGCTGGATTCGTAGGGTTTAGGGTTTAGGGGTTCATGGTCAATGGATTTAGGCTTTAGGGTCAACGGGTCAGTGGGTCAAGAACCCAATGTTGTTCAGGGTCTTGTTGTCGTGGCTTCGCTGAAGCTCCGAACCGCTAAGCCCCCAACTCCGAAACCTGAAAGCCCGTTTAAGGTAGAGGCCCCAAACCTGAAAGGACGAGGGTTCAGAAGCCCAAGGGCCAGAAGTGCAGTTCTGCTTGCGACTGCACGCTTTGCGACAAACTCCCCTTCGGTTTGAGTTCAAGGCTTCGCACTCATGCTCCTTTACAACTTGCCGATCGCACCGTTGCTCCCTTTTTGAGCTTGCGTAGGCTTCTCCCAAAAGAGTCTGTTTATCCCTACACAAAAGCCAGTGTAACCATCCGTGCCCAAAGTGGGAATCCCAGTCCACGTCAGGCCGGCAAAGATCCACACGACCCTGGCAAGACCAACTCGCGCTTCCGCACTTTGGTGGGGAGGGTTTAGGGTTTAGGGTCTAGGGCTTAGGGTTTAGGGTTTAGGGCTTGGGGTTTAGGGTTTAGGGTTCCCCGCCCCCCGCCTGAATCCCACCTCTTAGGGTTTAGGGTTTAGGGTTTAGGGTGTAGGGCTTAGGGCTTAGGGTTTAGGGCTTAGGGCTTTGGGTTTAGGGTTTAGGGTTCCCCGCCCCCCGCCTGAATCCCACCTCTTAGGGTTTAGGGTTTAGGGTGTAGGGCTTAGGGCTTAGGGTTTAGGGTTCCCCCCCCGCCCCCCGCCCGAAGTTCCAGAATCCCACCTCCCCCCAAAAAAACTTCTGCTGTTACAATCCATACTTACAGGGTCCCTTTCTTGGGTTTTGGTTATAGCCATTCTTACAGGGCCCCCTTCTTGGGGGTTGAGTTTTTGGGCTCCTAGGGTACACTGCCCCTGCACATATACGATGTATATATACAGAGCGTATACATATCTAGAGTATATGCAGAAGATCTATAGTATCGTTCGTATATCCAGAGTACCTGTCGTATCTAAAGTGTATATAGAGTATACAATGTAACTATGCAGTGTATGCAGTGTATACAATGTATACACTGTATACAGTGCGAGCTGTATACTGTGTATACAGTGTACATGGTGTATCGGTATACGTATCGTATGTGTGGTACACACACATGTAGATAGATATGTATGACACAAACTTCCAGGCTTCCAGTCTTTTCGGTTTGATGTGCAGGTGCACGGCGACGCCAAGCCAGAGAACATGCTTTGCAGCAAGGGCGTGAATCCCGCTTGTGCAGCTTTGGACTTTGGTTGGATTGGAGAAGGCCATGAAAAAGCCAGTTTGGCATGGATTGCGAGTACCACAATCGTTTGTATGCGGACACGCTATGGGAAGAATATTAGATGTGCTAGGGCTGCTAGGAAGTGCTAGAATGAGCTAGAAGTGACCAATGGTGTGCAGTCAAAACTGCAGCTCTCTCGAAGGCTATGGCGCATCGGACGTTGCATATTTGCTTTGGGATCAGATGGCGACAAATGTGGTCGAGGACAGCCGGTGCACATGGCATGGAACCTTGCTGAGGACTTCTGCCTTAAGAAGGACCCAAACCGAGTGGCAGAGGACTTGCTCTCCCTGTACTACGAGATGTTGGTGGAGCAGCTGCCATCCACCGCCAGGGCCGACTACTCCCGTGCGATCCTGAAACCTGGATGTGCAAGGGTGTTGTGACAGTGGCAGGGTGCACAGAATGTCTTCAGGCATCGAGGCAACACATGCCCAAGCGAAATCCCAGACCCTGCCCAGGAAGCAGCACTTTGACTTGGCTGTAGTGGACTTTATGCGCGGCTCGGCTTCGTGAGGCTCCATTCGGTGTTGAGGTATGTGCGGGGGTCTGGGCTAAGGCTAAGGATGTTCGTCGTTTTCTCCGAGGTGTAGCGCTGTAGGGCTGGTTAGCAGCCCATTTACGCCCTGCAGCTGTTGATGATTCTTTTGGAACTAAACCGTAGACTCTTGGAACCGAAGCCTTTCATCCTGGGCAAACCCCAAAGCCCCAAACAACAATAAGCCCTAAGCCTTTGCATCTTAAGCCCGTACACCTTCGAGCCTCATCCGCAAACCCCCCTAGAACCCCGTACCCCTTAAACCCTCCCACCGATTTGTAGAGCAGCTCCCTCCCCCCCCCCCCCCCCCCCACCCAAATTCTCCACCCAAAACCCTATAAACCCTGTGAAGCATCTAAACCCGATAAAACCCTATAAAAACCCTATAAAACTCTATAACACCCTATAAAAACCCTATAAACCCTATATGAACCCTACTTGAACCCTCTTTGAACCCTATTCAGCATCTAAACCCTCCCCCTCTTCTTCCCGCCCCAGGCTGGGAGCTGGGTTTCAAAGGCGGGGCCCACTTCTGGGCCATGCTTCTTGGCAGGGATTTGGGGTTTTGGGTGAAGGGGGGGAATCTGAAACTTCCCTGGCAGCCCAGTGGTGCCCTTCTGCCTTCTTTGGGGCTCCTTGTTTGTAACAGTAGCTGACACCAAAGAAGCATCCACCCATTGTGGGAATTTGGTTGCGAGCTAGCCCAAGTTTTCCGAAAAATCGACTCGTTCGACCAAGGCCCTGGGCAATCCAGACTCTTCGCGATGTCCTCGAGCGCCTGGATGGGGGCACGCTGCGTTCGCCGGCGCACTACGCGATGGCAGTTTCTCGCGAGTATCCGATATGAGGGTTTCGGGTTTAGGGCTATCAGGTCATGGGTGCCCGGCGCTGGTTGAGACACGCCCGGAGCTGCGCGGTGAAGACGACAGCAAGAGCCTCTGGCGGCAGCACCGATCAAAGATGTTTGGGTGACAAGCCTGGGTTTGCCCACGGAGGTCCACAAAGGCAGTCGCACTTAAAAGTGGGACTGCGCTGCCTGGCCATTGCCATGTCGGAGAGTGGCTCTCGAAAACTTACGTGCTGAGCTTTGCGCTGCACTTCCGTGTTACGGTGCGCCCGGGCGTGGCGTCGTTTTTCCATCTTCGACCAAGATCTACCAGATGCAGCGAGCTCCATTGCCCATATGGGCGCACCATGACCCAGCAGCTCGGCGTGTTGAAGTTCTCTCTGCTCAGCGGAAGTCCATCCGTGCCCACGTAGAGAAGGAGCATGTGAAAGCCAGTCGACGTTTTTTGCCGCATTCACAGGGGAACTTGCTGCTGCCGCATGACTGATGATCACGTCGGTTGGCCAGCTGCTGCCCATGGCACCGACAAAGATCTGGGCATGGCAAACATGATCAAACATGCCATGTGAAGCTTTCAGGAAACTTGTATGCTGGAGATGTGGGGTTTGCTAGTCGGCCACTGGAAAACATGTATGTAGATCCGCAGGTACCTACGCACACGTACATGTGCATGTGCACTGTATGTGTATGATGAGAAAATCCGGCCGCGTGTGACAGTGGGCCCTTGCAGGTGATGTCAAGCTTCCGACAACGGCCGTGCTCTTGGCATCCCAGGGTCTGGGAATGGGAAATGTGACTTCGTGATGAAGATTGGCTTCCGGAAGTAGCCGAAGAGTGGGCAATTCGATGTTGAATCTGACCTGCATGCCTTGAAAAGAATCTCACGTGACATGCATGAAGTTGTGTGAATGTTGTCGGAGAGTGCCTGCCGTACTGAGGTGCAAGAAGCTGGGGCGCAGACTGACAGTTACGAGCCTGACCCCCTGCTTTTCATTTCATACATTAGCCAGGCAGGCGGGAGCGAAACGTGTAGAGGCTTTCAGTAGCCCCTGCCGAAATGGAAGATCGCCAGTTCCAAGGGTGGCAGAGTGGCGGCTGAAGTCTTTTGATTGACTTCCGCATGCTACAACCTAAGGACCTAAGCTAAGTCCTCAAAACCTTCGGCCGAGGCTTGGTACGCCACGTGCAGCGGTCATCCGTGGTGCTGCAGCCTGTGGCGACCGGGGGCCCATTTCCCTCACCTACTTTTGGCTACTTTTAGCTTTTGGACTTTCAGATTGAGGGCTGCGGTTTTCAGCTTCGCCTTCAGATGATCTTGGCGAAAGGATGCTGTTAGAGAATATTACGAAATGGCAACGGATGTCGCGTGACTGAGAGATACCGCTTGGGATTCTGAGGCATGACTTCGAGTTGCAGTTACCGTCACCCAGACATATGTGCTCAGGCCCCCTCTCCCCCCCCGCCTAAACACCATAATATTATGAAACCCTAAACTCCCTTAAAACGAAAAAGGGTGCGAGCACTGGTCCCAAGGCCTGCAGCCGCCAGGAAGAGGAGGACTTCATCGAACGCATCCGAGATGCCGCCAGGGCCTTGGCTCCCCAATTCAGGTGGCTCTGTTAGGTCCCCTCACATGCAGGCTCCCGCAACAAGGGGGGGGGTGGGTCCACCAGGACCCCGTAAGCCCCTTAAAAAGGCCCTCTAGAGGGTCGACTATGGGGATTCTCAGGCCCAATAGCCCATCCTGGTATATATCTTGCAGCATATTCCCCCTTTTGTCAAGGTGAGGCAGCTCCAGGATGCCAGGCAGCGGCAGATCAAGGCAAGCATCGCGTCCCTACCAGAGTTACATGCAGGAGTAGTACGGATAGTATCGTGTTGTGCAGTAGACTTGTGTGAATGTATATGCAGAGGCAATTTCGAGTTCACACAACCACGCATTGTTCATGGCTACCTGCCTCCGTGCCTGGGTCTGTGCCTACGCACGAGTTTACAAAAAAGTAAGTTCTTGTGCAAACATGCATGTCATCATACATTCATGCATGCACGCACTTATGCACTCATACGGAGATATGAGCAGACACACCTCGCATACGCACACCCAGACACAACCGCCTACACAGAACTTCTCTCTCACACGCACACAGAGCGTGAGTATGTCTCCACGGGCGGCTCTACTAAGCAACGATCACTCTTGTGCACCACCCAAGAAGAAACCCTCGGAGTCGGGCTCTGAAGAAGTGCTGGCGGCGTGCGGGTGCGCACAGCTCTCTCGTGTCATTTCGGGCACACAGGCTCGCCACGTGCAAAAACACACCATCTCCCAAAGACCTAAACATCAAACGTGTTAGGCTTGGTGACAGGGGTTGACAGGTGGGTACCCAATCTGCACTTCGTTTTATGGAGAAGTCCGGACGGCAGTGTGGAAGACGCTTCTCAGAAAGGTCACCTTTCCCGACATCCTACATCATACTCCCACGTGCGGTACTGACATTGGGGGGCTTTATCTACGTGTAGCAATGCCTACATATGCGTACGCGTACGCCTACATGCACGAGCGCATGTTCGTGTACAAGAATAGTTGGACATGCATGTGCAAAATGCGGTAACTAAAGACCCTAAACCCTAAGCCCCAAAACCCTAAGCCCTAAACCCTAAAGGTGTTGATGGATTGCGGCGTGCCCCTCAGGCAAAGGCTGGAGAGCAGCGCGCTTTGGAGGAGGCCAGATGCGGATTCTCCCTCTGAGCACCTCCGAAAGGAGCTTGTTGTGAAGATTTCTGAAGCTCCATAGGAGTATCCCCTAGCAGCTCCTCAACGCCCTCAACTCAAGCCTGCCCAGTCGGACCAACATCACGTGCCATGCCCTGCAGATCCGAAAGCGCGAAGCCTTCATCGAACAGCTCCGAGATGATCTTGTTGGGCTCCCAGCAGTGGCCGAGGATTGCAAGTGCAGGATCGTGAAGTGATGTGACCTGATCTGATTAAGGCCTAGCATCCACGAAGGTTTGACCTCGTTGGTGGTTGCATTGGTTTCACCCGCAATTCGGAGCACACATGGCAGCGACTTGCGAAACCGTAAAGGCTGTCAGCACTCCGTGCACGCAAGCCGTCATCAGTCAGAAATGCCCCACGCTTGAGACCCGTGGCTTGGCCCTCAAAGACAGGAGAATGACGGAGCAAGGTGCATGTCACCACTTGCTGCAGGTTGTCACATGACATGAAAAGGTGCTTGCTGCGGTGCTTTTGGATCAAGCATGCAGGCAAGCATCATGCCTCTGGGATTTCAAGAACCACTCTTGGGTTGCCAATGACCGTGTCCACTCGCAAACTTCTGGGTCTAAAGTACCGAGCGAATCCGCTCAGACCGCTGCGTCATGGCAATGGCATCCGAGGCCACTGTGAAGGTTAAGGACAGCTTCGCACTACTGCCAGCATTGGGCCAGCATTGCCTCGTTTGTGGTTCGTGCGCCTGCAGCCAAGACCTGTTGAACCCAGCATGCCAGCCACACGGTACAAAAACGCAGTCCCATGGTAGAGGCGCCAAACGAAGGGAATGGGATGGTTTACCCATACTTCCTCGGCCCAAAGCAAGGAGATCCAGAAAGCAAGCTCAGAGGGTCGGAAGCAATGGGGCCAGCAGCTCAGAGGGCACAGCAAAGAAGTGCCCTCTCTTTGGCTTAGCTAAACACTTGGCATTGCATTGGTTCTTCGCATCATCGCACTCAGCCTGCCATCCCTGGAATTCGGGTACTAGGAAGCCTGTGAGGTCTTTGGTGCGATACACGTGGAAACGGAGCCAGATACCTGGACGGAGTTGCGAACTGCATTCATTGATGGGAGGGTATGAATTCGCATCGTGCGTCACTTTGAGCAGCTACCGTGAAAGGTGCGAGATCCCAGCAAACACACACCTGAGTCTGGTGCTCATCTGGGCTGCAGTCGTAAGACGCTGGGGGAAAGTAGACTCCTAAACCCTAAACCCTCAACCCTAAACCCTAAACCCTAAACCCTAAACCCTAAACCCTAAACCCTAAACCCTAGACCCTAGACCCTAGACCCTAGACCCTAGACCCTAGACCCTAGACCCTAGACCCTAGACCCTAGACCCTAGACCCTAGACCCTAGACCCTAACCCCAAACCCCAGACCCTAAACCCCAAACCCTAAACCCCAAACCCTAAACCCTAAACCCTAAACCCTAAGCCCTTCAAAGGTTCCTGGAGGAGTTCGTGGCGCAGTACAACTCTGGAGGCCGCGGGAACTTTCATGTCACTGAGGTGCCGAGACGAGCAGACTGAAAAACTCTCCCGGTGAGTTTAGTCCTACTGAATGTTAGATTCAACCGACTACGCAATCATGTCTCTCCTTTACACTCTCGAGGCTCTTGACCCCATCTGGAAGCTTTATTGAAGCTTAAGGAGCCACACAACAACATCACTTCTATCTTCTACGGATAAGGGGCCAGAGAAAAATTGTGGCCATCGTCAAATTCTCCGAAGGTTCTAAGAGCAGTTAAGCCCCCTGAGTTCCTCCCTCCAGGCCGCTTGGAATCCCCGGCTCCTGAAAGTCCGCGGCTTTGGTGGTGGGGAGAGAGGTGTGATGAATTGGTGCTCCTTCTTTTGGGTGGTCTCTTTGATGTGAGGATGTCCAAAGAGGTACTTGTGCTGCGTAACCTTAACCCTAGGCCCTAAACCCTAAACCCTATTGATCTAAAGTCTCTGGCTTGTTGAAGGCGAACAACACCGAGACCCAGGAAGCGCCCCGTAATTCTGGATCAAGTGGCCATCTACTGCATTTCCGCCCCCCCCCACCCCCCCCCCCCCCCCACCCCCCCCACCCCCCCACCCCCCCCCCCCCCCCCCCCCCCCCCCCCCCACCCCCCCCCCCACCCCCCCCCCACCCCCCCCCACCCCCCCCCCCCCCCCCCCCCCCCCCCCCCCCCCAACCCCCCCCCCCCCCCCACCCCCCCCCCCCCCCCCCCCCCCCCACCCCCCCCCACCCCAACCCCCCCCCCCCCCACCCTAAACCCTGAACCCTGAACCCTAAACCCGAAACCGGCCCTAAACCCTAGACCCTAAACCCTAAACCCTAAACCCTAAAACCTTAAAACCCTAAAACCCGAAAACCCTAAACCCTGAACCCTGACTTTAAACCCTAAAGCCTAAACCCTAAACCCTGCTCCGCCCAGAAGTGGAGACCCTTGCGGAGCTCGTGAAAACCGGACAGCGAGCCCTGGCCGGATTTTGGGGGTTTCCGAAATTAGGGTTGAGGGTTTAGGGTACCTTCTTAGGGTCTCTTTTGTAACGGGAATCCCTACTACTTGGGGTGGTAATATGGGGGTTCCCGTATTTTCGTAAACTCCCCCCATTTTGGATGCCTTCCAGGCCCGGCTGGGCCGACGAACATCTGTTCACCCGTATCCCTAGAGGTAAGCCTTGAACCCTAACCCGAAACCCGAAACCTTGGACCTTAAACCCTAAGCCCTCGTAGTGAAGATTCCCGCCAAGATGTATTTGAGCCTATGAACGCAGAAGAACAGAGCAGATCCCAAAAGCCCATCCATCCTCACAGTAGTACCCTTCCCCCCTTCATGCTAGAACCCACCCGAAGAATTACTGAAGATCCTTGAAGTCTCCGGGGACCTTTGAGCCTGTGAGAGCCTTCTCCAGGGCCTCCTGCAAACTCTGCATGAAATCCGTTACCCCTAAATCCGAAACCGACTTTCGAGGAGGTCCCAGATAGTCACCTAGTCCATAATGGATTGCACGCGTACCTTTTGGATTCCTGTGTTTTTTCAAAAGGTGTTTACCACAATTGTGTCAGCAGGGAAAGGGAAATCAACCACATAAGCCCCTGCAGGCAGTTAGGTCAGGCTACAGCCGGCAAGATGGTCGGGGGCCATTGCGTCCGCCATCGCTTGATAATAATAATAAAAGCTAAAATAATAATAGTAATAATAATAGTAGTAGCAATAATAATAGTAATAAGTGTTGGCCAGCAAAATCTAAGGAAGTTCGCACCACTGGCAGCAGGCCTGGTCGTGCACTGCTAAGGATCTTGCCAGTGTCAATTATTGATAATGATAACCTGAATAATTATTCTTGATATTATTAATTCTATTACTAATATTATTATTATTATCATTATTATTATTAATGTCAACCCGGAGTCCCCCAACCCTAAAGCGGTTTTGCAGGCCTGGACTCTGTATTGCCAACGCTTTGGCCATGGGGTGCCAGTGCCTCAGACATCGCTGTGGTCGAACGCAGCAAGACCGTGGGTTCAGGGTTTAGGGTTTAGGGTGTCAGATTGCGTGATGTGACTTCTGAGAAGTTGCATGCCGGCAGCCCCCCAAGTCCGTTGCTCAAAAAGGGCTTAGGGTTTAGGGTTTAGGGTTTAGGGCTCAGGGTTTAGGGTTTAGGGTTTAGGGGTTAGGTTTTTAGGACTTATCGGATGCGAGAGCTTGCTCTTGTGAGGAATGATCCCTACAAGCACAACTCCGCATTCCTGCCACTTACCTGCACACCGGTGGAGACGTCCACAAATTCCGCAAAAGACTACTCCGATGGGAAACGCCGGCGGGATCTGCTTCGTTTTCCGAGCGGTGCCAAGGGTGGGCTTCATGGACTTCCTGGCGTATCGAGGATGCATGGCTCAGAACTTAACCACAATTCCGGCTCAGGCTTGGAACCCTCTTTCGTCTGTCCTAGATGTGCTAGATGTACTGAGGCCATGTATGGCTCGGTTCTGGATGGTGGCTACAACTACTGGGATTGGAATGAGCCGCGATCCTGGCGCATCATGTGCATAGTTGCTGCAGCTGAAATTTGCATCCATCCTGCATTGTGCCAGCCGATCAGCCTACAAGTATCCATGCGTCACAAGTGCCACAACTTGTGCAGCACCATATTACGCAGCAGGAATGAGAAGTGCAAGATCATGTATGTCAGAAGCTAGAAATCATAGAAACAGAAACGGACATCAGGCCTAACTAGCTCCTAAACCTTTCCCCCAATGGCCTCAGCAGGCAAGCAAGAGAGCATTGCAATTCCCGAGGCCTCTGAACCTCGGAATGTGGGGTTAATACGACAAGGGTCCCTGGGAGCGTATACTTCTTCGAAGGGGCTCTTTTCTAAACGGACCCTCTTGAAGTGAACCCTCATATCACCCAGGTTCCGCATCACAGTGCCTTTAGGTTTAGGCTGCCTGTGGCCACATGGCGGAGCTGCATGGCCTTGACCCAACGCGCCGGACCTTTGATGAACTGCTGCGGGTCTTTGCAGAGGTTGAGGCCCGGGATTCAGAGAAGACACTCATTCTATACATGGACACTGCACCTAAACTTGATCCAGTCTCCAAGAGTACCCTTATGCAAGCTTCGGGTTTAGGGGTCGAAGCCCTCAGCAGGACTTGGCGCACCGGGGCCAGGTCATGGTCAAGAAGGCCGCGGAAGCAAAGGACCTGAGACCTGCCGATTTGGACGCTTGGACGCACGGCTTTCATGGGGCGGGGGTGGGTGGAGACGAAAGCTAGCAATGCCTGTTTTAGGGATCCTCCTAGAAAAAGGGTGATTTTCTGAGTTTGCTTTTGCACCTTGAAGTCATGTATTCACCGTGTATTCGTTCCTGGTCTGTTTAGCAGCTTCAGTTTCCGTTGAGTGATTGGCGTCTTTGTTCTCCTCTTTGCCTATGGACCTTCCCTGTGTCCTTGTTCTCAACAATCTTCTGCAGCTACTTTCTTCCATGCTTCCGACACTCGTTGTCACCATTCATAATCGGGAATACTTTCAATGCATGCTCTGTATGAACCACCTGAGTCTTTGAGGATTTTCTTCATTTGTTGCTTTCTGAGTCTCTCTCGCTCCCTCCCTCCCGCGCTCTCTCCCTCGCTCCCTCTCTATTTCTACCTACCTATCTATGTATCTTCATGTGTACATGTGCATATAAGTATAAATATAATATAAATCTAAACCTAAGTATAAATCTAAATATAAATATAATAAATAGTACATATGTATATATGACATGTGTATGTACACACGCATGTAAATAAACACACACATACACACATACATACATACATATATATATATATATGTATATATATATATATATATTTGTATATGTATATATATATATATATATTGGTATATGCATATGTATGTGTGTGTATATATGTATGTGTACATGCTTTTTGTATACCTGTACATCGTCCTTTATCTGCTTCCTCTGGGTAGTCAGTGTTTTGGGGTATGCTTCTGATAGCCTATTGTTGGGAATGCCTGAAGCTTGCCGGTTCTTCATGTAGCACAGTAGTCGCTCACAAGGAACCTCACAGAAGGAACCCTACAGTGGGAACCCTGGTTTAGCGTTTTGGCGTTTAGGGTTCCCTCTCGTGCCATGGAATGCCCTGATACACGGGGACAGAGACGCGTCAGAGCACGTGCCATCATCTGCCTCAGTCAGCAAGGGGCGAGTGCTCTGGAATGAGGGCTTGGATGCGGTAAATTCGAAATCGCCAGCAAGCATCCTAGAAACCGTCACAGACGCCCTCAACGACCTCAGGATGACATCTGCAAGTTCGCATCCCGCTTGCGCCTTGCGGCTCCCTTCGGCTTCCCTCAAAATCCAGCCGGGTTTCCGGCTGCGCCGCTGCCTCAGGGCTTTTGCCTTCCGTGGCCAACTCTTCAGGCCGCGAAAGGGTTTTGAAAGGGTGAGGGCGCTGTGGTAGGATTCTGGGAGTCTGAAGAGGTCACAGGCCAGTGTAACGCCCTGGCAGGAGCAGATGTCCCAGGCAAAGGCCTTGGCCTCAGGCGCGCTGCGCGCCCCGCCGCCCATCGTCACGGTGGAAAGGGCCGATCCCGTCTCGGGTGCCGCCTGGGCGGTCACCATGAGGCCGTTTAGGGTTTAGGGCTTGCAGGGTTTTTAGGGTTGTTGGGTTTTTTTAGGGTTTTTTTAGGGTTTAGGGGTTTTAAGTCATGCTTGGGGTTGGGGGATGTTTAGGAATGTTCAGGTCTTGGGTTTTCAGAAGCACTCCTTCAAGGTGCAGCGCTTTGAGGTTGTTGAAGGCCCTTTATCGATAGCTTGTTATCATTGAAACTCGTTATAAGAGGAATCTTCCGCCACAACGGGCCCCTAAACCCTAAACCCTAAACCCTAAACCCTAAACCCTAAACCCTAAACCCTAAACCCTAAACCCTAAAGCAAACCGCTGCAGCCATACGGCCAGGCCACGGCCGCCAGCATCCGCCGTCCTCTTCACGGCGGACGGCTCGCTTCCCAGACCCGGCTCCAAAGGAACGCTTCAAGCACCGCAGGTGCGGAGTTTCCTTCTTCTTCTTCTTATTAGTATTATTGTTATTTTTATTACAATAATTATTATGAAGTTATTATTACTATTACTACTGTACTACTGCTATTTTTATTCATATTCTTATTAATATTATTGTCATTCTTATTCCTCAACCCTGTAAGATCCCGTATGGTTTGTAGCCTGTTAGTTCCTTGCAAGAGACCTGTCGGGTCTTAGGGCAAAGCGGGGCCCCGTCGAGCTAATGCCGTGGGAAGCCTGGAGGATGCCCCGGTTCTCTTAGCAGAAGGAGGCCAGGTCTTCGCAGTCGCAGCTGCTTGGCAGCACAGAGTCTCTCAACGTGCATGTGGGGCAATTTGGGTTCCCTCAGATCCGAGATCCTTGAGGTTGTTCCCAGCCGCGGCCTCTCGGATGTGGTGACCGTGAGGACGCCCAAAGCGACAGAGGCCTCGCAGGGCAGCGCTCCCGCCAAGGCCAAGTGGCTGTCAAATTCTTGGCTTCAAGGGATCTTTGGGGCTCATGGCGTGCGAAGAAAGTGGCCTTCTGTCCAGGCGAAGCGCCCTGCAGACCGCACCCCACGACAGGCGGTCAAGAAGAAGGCCAGCAACAGCGGGAGTCAAGATAGCTGCGCAATCCTTTGCCCATCTACTAGTATGCGCTGGAATCGATTTTGGGCCTTGCTAGACGTGTTATGTGGTGCTTGAAATGCCGGCGCTTGCAACCAGAGAAGCCCCCGGTTCGGTCGCTGGAGTTTGGAGGCCTCGGCGCAATTCCGAGGAGACTTGCTGCCAAGCGCCCAGTCAAACTCGGTCTGATCGGTGCTGCGCTTCTCCATGGTCAGCCACGATCACCTCGTGCTACATCAGGTTACATCACGTTGTTGCCATGTTTTTACTACTAGATTGCAAATGTTGCTATACTTACGTGGCCTGCCAGCCTGGTAAGGCTGGATGATGATGAGTCCGGAGAATAGAGATGGCGTGGCACGCTGATCCCAACACGGGAAGTGAGCCTATCGCAGCTAGCGCAGCGAGCGCAACTGGTTCTTCGGGTTGACGCAGAAGAGCCGCTTGCCCATGAATTCTCAAAAAAGCTGAGCTCAGCATCATTCAAGATGGCCATGGGTGACCGTCAAAGGAATCCATGCTGTCATGCTGAAGACGTGAACAGGCTTATTAATATTACTCGTACGTTGAGACTCACTAGACATAGTCAGCTAGCACAATGCGAGGATTGCAAGAGCTGTTGTATGCCCAAGGTCCTATGACCCTCGAAAGGACGCGTTGGTTCAGAAGATCAAGGCCACAACCATCCGCTGCTTCAGTTTGCTTACAGGGGTCATCCCGACTCAGCGTGGCACAACGCACCGCAATCGGTCCTGGGCCCTTGGGCCAACTAGCTCCTGGCTCCCGCTAAGCCCTAAACCCTAAGCCCTAAACCCTAAGCCCTGAGCCCTAAACCCTAAACCCTAAACCCTAAGCCCTAAACCCTAAGCCCTAAGCCCTAAACCCTAAACCCTAAACCCTAACTACGACGGCAGGCCATGCAGCGATCCAATGAAGAAGCAAAGCGTCAGTGGCGGATTGCTTACTCCAGTGGATAGGGTTTAGGGTTTAGGGTTTATGAAAACAAGGGAACCCCGAATATCGTCCCCCAAATAGTAGGATTCCCTTATACTGTTCGGCCCTAACAAGCTGCCCCTAATGTCGGAAACCCCCCATATGCTGTGCGCGTTTCAGATTTTCATTCTTGGAGGTTGTGCATCAGTACACCATTCGACCGGCAGTCTTGCCCACGTGCTGTGCCAAGGTGGCAGTTCTGTGCCTGGCGCCCAGTAGCAGTCCTTCTCAGCGGATCTGATTCCCCAACGTGATTCTGTGCACCCCTGCAACGCCCTCCCTCACAGAACCAGGACAACCGACAGGGCGGCATTCGTGATCCTACGCGTGGGGGGGCCGAGCCGCCGAAACGCTTTGAAGTTTTGTTTTGGGGGATCGACGGTCTGGACGGATTGAAGAAGGAGGCCCGCAATTGGCAATTTATTGTAAGGAGGCCGGAATCCCGGAAGACCCGCCGCTCCCATGGTCACGTAGGGGTTTAGGGTTTAGGGTTTAGGGTTTAGGGTTTAGCCGGACTACGCAGAGAGCAGCAGTACAAGGCATGATCGTTCCATAAACGGCAAACCCTTTGCTGGCTCGATGGTTACCCTAACCCCTAACCCCTAAACCCTAAACCCTGAACCCTAAACCCTAAACCCTAAACCCTAAACCCTAAACCCTAAACCCTAAACCCTAAACCCTTGAAGCTGAGGCCACGAGGTGAGGGTCCTCCAGGAGTTCCTGAATGAGCAGGGGGGGTCATCGTAGCGGAGCAGATCGAAGCCTAAGGAGGACTTCGACAAGCCTTGTGCTGGGACATGGGATGTTCCCTTGTTGGGTTCAGGGTTTAGGGTTTAGGGTTTAGGGTTTAGGGTTTAGGGTTTGGGGTTAAGCAGTCCTTGGTAGGGATGATAGAACCGCCTGTTATGGTGACTGTTAGTACAAGGGGAAGTGTGACTATCAAGATTGGGTTCACTAGGTCGGCATCGGCATCTTAGTGGTCTTGAAGTTGTCCCACAAGATTCGTTTCATTATGTGGCAGTGCACTGCAGCAGGCGTCTGCACAGCTTGGGTTCTTACATGCCTTCCTACTATGCTTGGAGGAATATGAAAGCGAGTCTCAAGAAAAGGCTCTTTGTGCTTGCGAGTTGCAGTTACAGCTTCTCGCACCTTGAAGTCAGCTGTCGGGCACGGATGCAGTTTGACTTCTGACGCATGAAGGAGAGTGTGAGGTCATTGCTGCATCATTTCTCACCTCGCGGATCAAGCTTGAGGTGACATCCCAGAGACTACCAAGAGCAAAGACCAAGATGCTTGCTGATTTGCCTTCGCCGTGGATCAAGCTCGCTTTGCCTTTTGACTCCAACCAACCAGAATCCATGTCACGGAAAACCCACATGCTATTGCATGTGGCCGTTGGACAGGAAGCTTCCAAAAGACTCGAATGTTGGATTTCAGGCACTGACCCGCAACAGCAACAAACCAGAAACAAACTCAAGAACCTCTGACGCGAAGTTCCTCCCCAAGAGGGTGCGGGGTTTGCCTTTGCCACCGAAGATCCTTGAAGCCTCGGCCACGATGGGCTGCGGAGTCAGCTCGCCGGAGGCCTCGATGCGGGAATCAGAGTCTTTTCTTGTCTGTTGGACCACGATTTTCCCTGCTTTCCCTACTGTAAACCCTGAACTCAGAAGTTGTGCTCCGGACAGGCAAAGTACTCTGCAAGCGTCGAGGCATGGCCTGCACGACGGAAGCTGCAGAGAGTGATCCGCGGCATACAGGCATGTGTGTGCGTGCTGATTCGCAACCCTTTGGCATAGGCTAGTGCTGCTGGCACCTCCGTGCATGGCTCAGGCTACAGTACTGCTGGCTAGCTCCCGTCAACGTTGCGTTGAAGTGTGCCAGCCCTTGAAGTTTTGAAGCGTCCTGTGAGAGACTACTGGTCCGCGAGACAGGAAGATGAAGTCAAACATAAAGTAGTGCTCCCGCTGCATATCCCTCACCCCCCAGCCCTCCCGGGAGCCGAAGTCATCTTCTCACTTGAACTTTCGACGTTCCGCGTGCTCATCTCCAGGGCACAGACAGGTTGCATTCGAAGGCAAGAATGTACAACCCCCCTGCCCCCCGTCTCCCCACAAGAGGAAAGGAAAAAACGAACAACAACCCCTGACATATCTAGATCAACCGAAGCAAGTGTTTTTCTTTAAGTTTAGGGCCCAGAACGTAAGGTGTCCACTTTAAGCCCAGGCAAAGAGTGAGCCGGCGATCGTCGGGAGCCCACATTGCAGGCCGAATGTTCAAAGCACACCAAGGACGGTCGTATTCTGAGTACTAGTTGCCTTTCACAATCGGACTCCTTCTTCACAAAGGCACTACCTCATGAAAGGGAACCCTAGCCCAGTCTCACATCGTAGCGGTATAGCTACAGCATCAAATACCAATAACAATATCCACAGTGAAACGACGGCAGCAACCATCCCCGATTTTGAAAGGGTGGAGACGCTAAACCCCAAACCCCAAACCCCAAACCCGAACCCTCCGGATGCCAGTCTCACTTGAACCCATGAACCTTGCCTGCCTTGTGCGAGAGCGAGCCTCGACCTCCTCAACCCCAAACCCTAAGCCCCAAACCCTAAACCCTAAACCCTCAACCCCAAACCCGAAACCCCAAACCCCAAACCCTCAACTAGAACTTGGGGATTCGAAGTGGCAGCTGAGGCATCCCAGGCCTCCACCGAAGACGGAACGGTGCCGACCCCGTGAGCCTCAAAACCCTATCTAAGGGACTCCGGCCTTCAGGGTTTCGGGTTTAGGGTTTGGGGGTTAAGGGTTTAAGGCCTAGGGTTTAGGGCGATATGTAGGGTTTAGGGCGATATGTAGGGTTTGGGGCCTTCAGGGTTCCGGGTTTAGGGTTTCGGGTTAGGGTTTAGGGCTTCGGGCTCAGGGTTCGAGAGCCCTACTATAAGCTAACGTATATTCCAAGATGCATAAGTAGGAACCCGATGCAAAGCTCTGTGCCACACGGCTGCAGCTCAGCAAGTGGGGGATGATCGAAGTGATGGTTCTGTTATCTACTGCAGTCTATGTGGGTTTCCGAAATTCGGGGTACCTTACTAGGAGTCTAAGGGATGCCTATACTCTTGGGGAGGTTTATATTCGCGGTCCCTTATTTTCGCAAACCTCCAGAGTCGTCTAGCTCGGGTGCCAGCATTGGGCCTATAATCCCCCTAAACCCTAAACCCTGAACCCTGAACCCTGAACCCTGAACCCTGAACCCTACACTCTAAAGGGGGGTCTGCTAGGCGGGTGGCAAAAAAAACCCTAAACCCTAAGCCCTGAACCCTGAACCCTAAACCAAGAACCATAATTTGTCTTCCCAGGCAGAGGCCGCACCTGCCGAGGAGCTCCAGGCTGATGAGGCATTGCCTGCGTAATCCAGGGTCAGGGTTTAGGGTTTAGGGTTGAGCTTTTGTGTGCGGACTTTGGGCAGTCACAAGTCCCATACAGGCAAGAGCTGTGGCATGGTGGAGCATCGACACGGATTGGATTCGCGATAGTCGTGCACTTAGGTGAACCGCCCCCTGTCGGCTCATTTCGGCGCACGAATGACAAACCACCTTGAGGTTCGCATGAGATCTTCAACGGATACAACTTCTTCTTCGAGCACATTGGCATCCGCAAAGGCACCGACACAGCAACAATGATGTACACGGACATCCTTTGGTGATGCATGGTGATGCTCGGGGCAGGTTGGCGCACGCCCCCTTTCAAGAAGGAGGATGTGCAGGCTTGGTGTTCTAAGCATAGTCCACGCCAAAGACCATCAGGTTGCAAGATGCCTCACGAAAAGGTCGTCCATGCCGATCGCACTTTGCACTTGCCCGTGCGAGTCCAGAGATGCAGATGCATGTGGAGCCAGGGGCCCTTCATGGCTTCGGCGGAAGTCGTGGCAGTTGTCCGCGGCGCTCCCAAGCCTGCACAGCAAAGCTGAAGCTTGTGTCGTTTTGCGTCCTTGAGAGATTGCTCAGGTCATCGGATCGATGAGCAGGGCAATGGAATGGTCCTAAGACAGCTCGAGGTTCTGCGCCTTCGTTTCGCGAAGCATCAGAAATCTTGAGGGCCAGGGCAGCTTGCAGAAGCCGCTGAAGCCATTTGTGTCTTGCGCAGGGCTCGTCGCACGACTGGCTCTGGGGCTGGGCGCCAGAGAAGCCACCCCATGAGGTGGGCTGGAGGAAGCGTTTTTTTGGTTTTGCTGGTTGGAGGAGTACGCAGGGCTTCATGAAAGCCACCTGCGCAGGCAGAGTTTCTGCCAGAGTTCTTCCGCGGCCTCGTGTTCGCTACGTTCAGCGATGCCAACGGTTTAGTCACTGGTCTCAGTCGTAGTAAGTCGAATCGCATGGCGAACTGTGGGTGTGCTGTGGGATCGAATCCTGTCCCCTCGCCCAGAGAATAATCTACTTACTAACAAGCATATTTATTGTACATTACGGGCCCATCTTGCTGTATCATTCGGGTCCTGCAGGGCTGGACAAAGGGGGTCCACACATCGATGTTCCAGTTTGAAGCCGATCTTGGGGTTCCTGCAAGGTCGAAGGCTTGGATGCCGATACCTTGGACTACTACGTCCGGAGCTCTGAGCTTTCGCAACGCGGTGTTTGCATGTGCCGAACCGGAAGAGCCCTAAATGCCCTAAGCGCCTGAAGCCCCAGGTCCAGAGCCATCCGATCTTGGAAGGGTCAACTCCCCAGCGCGTTGCGGGAGGCGCGGAGACCGAACAAGCCTCCTAGAGCCAGGGGGGAGACGTTAGGGCCTTAAGGGATCCCTTTGTTGCGCGTGTTTGAAGCCAGGGTCTCCTTCTTCAAAAGGTGCCGCCCAAAAAGAGGCACCCTACTTGTGCGCCCTCCCTCCCCCACGCCCCCCTTCCACACGGGGATCGATCCCTCTGAGGCCTTGAGAGGGAGTTGTTCTAAACTAGGCACACGGGTCCACATTGAAGTTTGAACCGCGTGTGCCCATGTTCCGGGAGTTCCAAGTTGTGTAGCTAAAAGCAGAAGGGTTCCGCGTACCTTAAACAAGCTTAGAACCATAGTCACCCCACGTAGAACCCCTACTTACAAGTAACGAAGCCTTTCAGCAGCTGCAGGTCCCGCCGCTGAACCGGCAGAGCCCGCGGCAGGGCCCGTGGCAGTACCTACGGAGCCCGCCCAGCCGGCTCCGGCCAAGGTTCCGGAGGCCCCCCCCCAGGTTTGGTTGGCCCTTTCTGCACCCATTTTTGGTTTTGGGGTTCTAGGAGAAGATCTGCATGTCGGTCATGTAACCCTAAACCCGACACCTTAAACCCTCAAGCCTAAACCCGAAACCCTGAACCCTTGGGAGGCCAGCCCCGAAGCGCCTGTCAACGCCTCCGGTCCAGTAACCGAGGCGCGCAGCGGGATAGCAGGAGCAACGTGCAAAGCGGCCCTGGGTCCAAGCGGATGCCCACCATGACTGAGCAAGATACTTGTGATAACAACAGGAACAGGGTTTCGGGTTCAGGGTTTAGGGTGGTAATGCAATGATATACGAAAATATTTAAAAAAGACAACCTCTACTACTTCTTCTACTACCCCTGCTCCTGCTCCTGCTCCTGCTCCTGCTCCTGCTCCTGCTCCTGCTCCCACCACTACTGCTGCCAATAATATCAAGAAGAAGAATCATAATAATAATAATAATAGTAACAATAATAATAAGAAGAAGAATAATATTGCAGGCTTCCCAAAGCACGCCCGAGCCGAACCTGGATGCCAAGAAGTCCGAAGAGGCCATCGGGGATAATTATCAGCACTGAAAAGGGGTTTCCGAAAACGGTGGGTACCCTTTTTGGGGGTTCCTTTAAGGGATTTTACTCTATGTTGGGGTGTTAAAAAAGGGGTTCCCCTATTTTGGAGATAGTCTCTAAGGCTCTAAGGGTAGTCACATGGGCAGTTCTCAAAGTTGGGGTCCCTTTTTGGGTTCCTGCTTAGAAGGGTGCCGTATTGCCGAGCGGGCCCCCCTCATTTAGAGAACTACCCACGTGGTTCCTGCAAAAATGGCCCCTTGCGTTTAAGCACAGTAAGGGACCATTTATAAATTCAGCTACCCTAAGATACTCTGTCTGTCCCATTGTAATATGTCCCATTGTAATACTACAATTTCAATACGCGAACCAAGTCTTGTTTAAATGCGGTGACCTTATACGACAATGGTCATAAGATGTTACTATATGCTGATCAAATAAGCAGAGGGCTGTAAATTAGGGTCCCTTCTTGGGTCCCCTATATAGTATAGTGTGGCACCCTAGAGAACTCCCCGTGTTGAGGTTAGAGCTTAGGGTTTCGGGTTCAGCGTGGCTAGGGCCTGGCTCTGCGTAACAGGTCGCGGCAGTGGTCGCGGTGATCGACTCACAGACGCTGGATGTTGGTGAAGCTCATCCGAAGGCCACTTCGGCCTTTCCTTTAGTAAAGGGTATTTCTAAACACCCCCATTACATACCCGCACACACACACACAGATTCATATATATATATATATACACATACATATATACATATATACATATATACATATATACATATATACATATATACATATATACATATATACATATATACATATATACATATATACATATATACATATATACATATATACATATATACATATATACATATATATATATATATGTATATATATATATATGTGTATGTATGTCTGTTCCAAATTCACAATGTTGTGTACGCTTTGGTATCAGGCGCCGGATCCCCGCAGATTTCTTCGAACAGAAAGCTGAAGAAGTTGATTGCGGGCCAATCTTCAGACGACTAAGAGTTGATTATTAAATTAAGTAATGATTAGTTTTTACCTAATTGTTAATTAATTCTAGGGCTCTGGAAGCCGGTTCCAGAGAGCTGCAGCAAGCTTTTGGGGCCGTGAGGGCTTAGGGCTCAAGGTCTCCCAGGCCTTCGCCCTTCCGCATTTCTGTTAGGGTCCCGAAGCTTCACATTCTTCCAGGTAACCACAAACAATTCTGCGGGTTTTTAGAATTTTTTCTGGGAAACTTCGCGCAATACCGGGCCTCCGTGTGAAACCGAGCGCTGCAATCGCTGCAGGGCAGTGCAGAGCCCAGCCAGCCAGCTTCCGCGCCTGCGCAGGATGCAGGCGCGCTGGACAGCCGTAGCCCTTCGTTTTGATCTCAATCTGGGCCCCTTTGTGCCAGCGCAGGGCACCAGGAGTAGGCCTGTGATCATGAACCACGCCCATGTGCTGATGCTGTGAAGGCTGCTCCACGGATGTCACGGCTGCCACGGCTGCCCCTGCTGCTCCGATGCAAAATGACGGTCTTCGGAGCTTGCAGGGTTTAGAGCTTAGGTCTGTTATTGGGGTTTCTTCGGCCAGGCTAAAAGTGGACAGATGGCACAGTAAATGGTGACAAGCAAGCAAGCAGATCGCGAGCAGGCTGCCGACGCTTCGTCGCCAGCTCCCCTCATGTTGGCCAACGGGCCTGCAGGCCAACCAGCATCCATTCTTCAGCTTCACCTGTGCAGCTTTACCGTGGTGCAACCCGTGGCGTTTGTCCCGTGCAGAGGCTCGCGATGACGAAGCTTTGCGCCCGAGCACAGCCCTCTGTCATCACCTGTTGATGTGGAAGCAAGATCCCTTGCCTGCAGTGTTGCTTGTTGCCCAACTTCTACAGGCTCTCTGACGAGGATGGACCAGTTCAGACTCAACCTGCATGCCTTCAGATGCCCCGATACCCTGCTTGAGGCCATGTGTGGTGAAACAGCACATGGCATCCCAAGACCTTGATGAACCCTATGTCCCCAGCCATCTTCGGCTCCTAAATGTTCTCACATGCTGGCCGGCTAGCGGTGTATCAGGACCAGGGGATCTCCGGAAGCTTAAGGTTTCCATGGAGGTCCGCGAATTCGCACGCCCCGAGAAGTATAGGGTTTCAGCGACGCTCTTTCTTCATCAGGCGGTGTAAACGAAGACGGGAGAAGCCGAGCTCTATACTTTAAGCCCTAAACCCCAAACCCCAAACCCTAAACCCTAATCCCTAAACCCTAATTGAGCACTAATCCCTAAACCCTAAACCCTAAACCCTAACAGATCCTAGGCCAAAGGAAGGGCCTTGCCAGAGGCAGTCCCGGGGTTCACGGGCCTCCTGTACAGTAAGGGCGCCTGAAGGGGCCGAAGGCCACAGGAACCATAACTGCCGTACCTTGGGGTTTTAGGGTTTAGGGTTTAGGGTTCATGGTTTAGGGTTTAGGGTCTAGGGTTGAAGGATGTTGAGGGATGGTGAGGGGCGTTGAGGGTGTGTGTTGAAAGGAGTTGCCGGTGCGGAGGCCTAGAAAAACGCTGCGACCCGACATGTTCCCACTACCCGAGTTGGCTGAGCACGGGATTTAGGAGGAACTTCTAGATCTTCTAGGACCGGGAGAGACAGAGGGCATGCTAGTAAACACACAGCACGGCCAGAGCATCCAGGTTCTCATCTCATCTCACGCAACTCCCGAATCTGTGCACAGGCCCATGCTACTGCGACTCTTCCCATGCCACCCCCATGGCATTGCGAAACTGGCATCACGTGCCCAAGGCTGTTCTGCTACCAGAACAAATGCAGCAGACTCACTCTTTAGAACCTACATATTGGTTCGAAACTACGGGCCACTCCGCCCAGAAGGGACCCTAATTTACGGAACCTACCGCTCAGCACTTGACTTCAGGGCAGTCACCAGCGCTACCTTGCACCTTGGCGTCACACCTCCTTCGTCGTGCTGCTCTCTTGGATTACTCTCTGCCAAGTGCAGCCATTTCATTCCGACTTCATGGTGGGCATGAGATTGCTGAACAACGGTTGCACATAGGCGCATGCTGGTGGTGGGGTGTGTTTTGCGGCAGTCTCGTGCACTGGACATTCTATATGAGATATTTCGCTGTGGCAACGGACTCGAACGTGTATACTTCACGCCCGAAGCTCCCACAGCCATGGGTGAAGATGAGGCGTATGGGGGTTCGGAGTGAATGTGGAGTTACCTTCGTGTGGCCTTGGGCTGTGGCTGTCGTCGCCGCCCCGCTTAGGGCAGAAACCACAAAGTGAGTACAAGCTCATATTTGCTTTCCCCAACCTCCAACAGTGATCCTCTGCCCATTAAGGTCGCTCTTTTCTAACCTCCCTATAAGTTTTACTAAACTCCCCAAACTTTAAGCCCAAACTCTAGGCCCCAGCTTTTTGCGGGATTTGGGGGGAAGCCCGTCGAGGCGGATGAGCGGCTCCGCAAGTCGGGCCCAGAGCTCTTCAGGGAGCTCAAGCGCCTCTATGCCGTTGCAGAGGCCGGCGGAGGGCGTGTTTGGGCGGCTTTTGGGGGCTTTAGGGGTTCTTATGGGCTTTGAGGGCTTTGAGGGTGTTGAGGGTGTTAAGGGTTTAAGGGTTTTAAGGGTTTAAGGGTTTAAGGGTTTTGGGGTTTCAGGGCTTCGGCTTGTTTTCAGGGATTTTTTTCAGTTTTGAGGGGTTTATAAGGTTATTAAAGGGTCTTGACGGGTGAGGTTTGGGTGGACATGTCCAGAGGCTCATACAGTCCCAGGCGAGGTGTTGCCAGGATGTGGAGGCTTGTTCCAACTGCGTTCAGGGGGTCCAGGGATTGAAAAGTAAACCCTGAACCCTGAGCCCTAAACCCTAAACCCTTTTTGACACCACACTGATTCTGACTGGCCGCCTGAATTCCCGAGTCCTGTACCCTAAGCATCCCAAACTCTTAAAGGCCCTAAGCCCTACAACCGAATGCAAATGCCAGGTGCCAGACTACTTCAAGAATGGAGTCGACCGGCCCATGTTTGATGCTATGTTAGTGTCTTGGGACTCGATTCCTTGCTTGAGCTCACTGAACCCTTCTTACTGTTATGCTTGGCATTGGTCAGCGCACCCCCTTCCTCATTCACGATGACCCTATACCGGGAGTTTAGGACTTTGTTGTGGCAGGTGTGGCGAGATGACCTGATGAAGATAGACCTCCAGCTCATCGAAGTTCACCGCCGTGAGGCCACGGCTCGTTGAGACCGGACGGGGGACCGAAGATCACCCAGAGAGCCCAATACCCCCATCATCCACGGACCAAAAAACACGACGTAGTGTTTCTACCCTGGGGCTTTAACAAAATTACTTTCGTTTTCGGGGGTTGGGGATGGGGCAGTTGGGCCTAAATGGCCGCGGCTCAGCAGAGTTTCTTAGTCAAACAGGGGAGTCCAGGAGCTCAAGTGGCCCCCAGAATTTCGTGAACTCCCCTCCTCCTCAGGAGAAGAGCTGTAGTGCGCCCTAAGCCTTAACAACCCTAGAACATCCCTAGAACCCTAAACCCCAAACCAACCCTTGAACCCTAAAGCCATGAACCCCCCAACTTCCCCCGAACCCCCGCACCTGAAGTGCCCTGAACCCTAAACCCTAAACCCTGAGAGCATCTCTGTGTCAGTGGAGGCTGGAGCTCCAGACCCGCCACCGCTGTCAGAGGCGCAGCCTATTTTCCTGGGGTCCGAGGGTTTGAGTGGCGGGTATGGGTTTGAGAGGGTTTGAGAGTGTTTGCGAGGGTTTGCGAGGGTTTGCGAGGGTTTGAGAGGGTTTGAGAGGGTTTGAGAGGGTTTGAGAGGGTTTGAGAGGGTTTGAGGGTTTTATGGGGCTCTTGGACTTCTGGGCTCACATGGTCTCTTGCTGTTTGGGGTCTACGCTGGCATAAGGTACCAGATTCGGAACCCAGAATTTTTTCTTGGGACCCCCCATGTGGGCAGGTCTATAAACTCGAAACTACCTTGATGGGTACTTGGTGGTAACTCAGCAAGGACCCTAGCTCACAAAGCGCTACCCCAAAAAGCCTTCGGAGCCCCTGTGAAGGCAGTCAGGCACCAACTTGGAATTCAGCTTCCCTTGTCTGATGCATCCTCTTATTGTAACAGGTATTGCTTACGGTACAACCATGGAGAACAACTCCACCCCCTTCTTTTTCATCAGTTTTCATTGGGCAGGTCAAGCTTCCGCCAGATCTCCCTCGCGGCGTTGCTCGAGCCCATGACGGGCTCGGCATAGGGTTGGAGAGTGGGCTTGCCTTCCAGTCCCCGAAAAAGAGTCCTTTGAGGGCTCCCGCGGGGGCACGAAAGCCAACAAACATAAAGCCCCCTTCTTCCCAACGTAGGGTCCTGGACAAATTCGGGGGATGAACCATCTGACGTGGGTGTCGTCGTGCGACATCCTGTTTAGACGCCAGGGTACTTGCCCAAATGCGATCAAAATTATAGGACCCCTCCCCATCCCCCGAAACAAAGGGCAACCTGATTTTCATAAACCCCTATAGCGGACTCCCAGCCTGTGAGATGCGTCCAGCTCCTTGCTTGACCGGCTTTGCAGAAGACCAATTACGCCCCCCCTGACTCCCACTGCGAAAGATCGATCCACATATGTATATACTTATATATATATATATATTATATGATATGGGATATATGATATATGATATATACATATTTACATATATACATATATATACACACACGGATCTGCCGAGGTCCGGCCACACATACCCACGCCAATAGTGGGAAGCGCAAGCTCCTCGGAGGGCTTAGGGTTTAGGGCTTAGGGTTTCGGGTTTAGGGAGGAATGTTCCGTTTGCCCTGGATGGCGCCCAGGCCGCAACGGTGGTGCCGGCCACTGCCACAGGCACCGATCCTGATCTTGCGTGTGGCTGCATGGGACAAGGAGAAAAGAATATCCCGATTGCTCGTCGGTCCTGCGATGTCTCTTTACATAGAGGCAGTGCGGTGGCCGATTTGCGATTGATAGCGCTCTTCGTGCAGCTCTGAGGTAGTGTCAGTGGCAGTCAGTTTGTGGATCTTGCACGGAAGCTGTTTGGGCCAGGGGCACGCCTGTAGCAAACTGAAGGTCGCGAAGTGGAAGCTGGACGTCGCACGGACAAAGGCTGCGCTGACCAAGCTTCTTCCATCGAGGCATCGAGCCCTTTTCGCTGCTGTGGACTTTTGCGCTCTCTCATGTTGCCTCTTTCAGCAGCTGCCTCCCTTCTCGAACTAGGGGACGTTTGGGATTGGGGTTTGAGGTCTCGGGTCCTGGTCCCTGGGACATGAGCTGTTGCTGTCCGCAGGCGGCGGTGGGTCATCGCGCATTTCAAGCCAAAGGCGCAGTGCTTGAGTTCAGGGTTTGGGAGAGAGAAGCAGACAACCCGCTTTGCCCGAAGAGAAGAAGCGGAGAGAGACATAAACGAAGACAAGCGCATTCAGAGGGGTGATGCACCCACTGAGCAAAATTCCGACGAACGAACCGTGCTGTTGAAGTAAGGGCGAGCTGTGAGTTTGTACAGAATATGCCTCCGCATTTAACTCTCGTGCTGCTGGGACCCTTGTTCGGGTGTTTGCGACCAAGAAGACAAGTCCCGCCCTGGAGAAGAAACAGGAAAGAGAAGGGGTTGGGTTCAAGGTTTGTAGGGTTCGCGAAGCGTTGTTCCAGAGCTGTGAATTCTCCTGCTGCTGATTTGTGGTGTTTGTGAGGGTGCTGCAGCGGTCGACGACGAACTGGAGAAGTGCCCCCCCCCCCCCCCCAAACCCCCATCCAGCAAGTGATAGATACACAACCTAGAACGTGCCAGCTGGATCCGCTTTGTGCGCCTTTGTGCTGGTCTTGCCAGGTACATCGCTGAGTGCCAGGCTTCGAATTCATGGGACACGGCCTTCGCCTCGCATCACTGACGTCACTGTGCACGGCGAAGTGCCACGGCCTCACTGCTGACGATCAGCTTCAGGCCAGCGTGTTGAACGGCTCCACCAACGGCGTGGTCTCCTCAGCTATGGAATGGGGATGAATGCGCGATGAGCTTCGCAATGCTTCGCATGAACACCGGCAAGAATCTCAGAAGTTGAACTCATGGAGTGTTTTTCGAGGTCAAGCGCCCAGTCAGTGCCGTTGCTGGGACCGTTGCAGCGACTGTCGACCCTAGCAAGAGGCTGGGAAGAATCGCACCTGAGTGTCTCGTCTAGGCGGGTATAGGGCTGTATGCACTCTGGAGCCGAACTCAGAGAAGACTCAGGTGCCATCGAAGCTGGCAACTCACGTGTTACAGTACCAAATCATTTAATTTGTAGATGGATGTTGAGGAGATTCCACATGTGCAATATTCACGAAAGCTAGTGGAGCTGGGCTTGGAAGTCTGGCTTTTTGCGGTTAGTCAGGCAAGCTTGTAAAGCTGCGAGTATCATAGGATGGGGTGGTGGAGAGTGAGTGTGTGTGTGTGTGTGTGTGTGTGTGTGTGTGTGTGTGTGTGTGTGTGTGTGTGTGTGTGTGTGTGTGTGTGTGTGTGGGTGGGTGTGGTGTGTGTGGGTGGGTGGGTGGGGGTGGGTGGGTGGGTGGGGGGGGGGGGGGGGGGGTGGTGGTGTGTGTGGGTAGGAGTGCGTTTGACGCCCCACTTTCCGCTTCCAGCCCAGAGTCTGATGGTGAGATCTGGTGGGCAATGTTAAATGGGTGTAGTCATTGTCTTTCAGTTCAATAGAGCCTTAGCTAGAGTCGCGAAAAAGAAGGCCGGAGCTGGCTTGCTTTTACGGCAACGCCCGAACCGTAAACTATGGCTGTGGCAAGGCTCCGGCCCACGGTCGTTGCGCCCGTTCGACCGCCGCCCGACTGCAAAAGGAGTTGAAGGAAGTCAAGGTTCAGAACGCAGTCGGGCTACTCCATTGAGACCTTAAATAGAATAGAATCCCCTTAAAGGGACCCCCAAAAAGGGTACCCCTATTTGCGGAAACCCCTAAATCATAATGGTATCCCTGTTCAAACAGCGCTCGAACGCCTAGGGCAGCGACTCCCAAGCCTTCAGCGCCGGGTATAGCGATGGCACAGAGGCCCGTGCGCGCCTGATTCCCGACGGCTGCCTCTTCTCTCTCAAACTCTCACTCCCCAAGCCCTACACCTTCTGGGATTTCTGGGGGGTTGAAATCAGAACTGAGCCCTAACCCTTGATCTCGTAGGCTACAGGCCGCCGTGCGAGCCAGGCACGTCCAGCTTGAGTTCAGGGGGCTTGCTCTAATTTCTGGGTTCTTGGGCTCTGTTACTGTACATGACCTGAGCCCAGAGGCCGGCACCACTGCGAGCATTCTCAGCACCTACGCCCATGACAAGGCGCCCGAGAGAATTCTCGCAAGTCTAGTCCCTCGAAAAGTGTGGAGGGCTACTACTAGAAGCTGAAATGAGTTGCTGATGGGCTTATGCCGGAGGGTCAGTCTCTCTCTCTCTCTCTCTCACTCGCTCTCACTCTCTACTCTCTCTCACTCTCTCTCACTCTCTCTCTTTCTCTCAGTCTCTCAGTGCTTGTTAACTTGGAAAAGCATGTTCGCAAAGATCGTCTATTTGCAGGCTTCGTGGGTGGTCCACAGCATATGTTCAAATGATTCGGTTGGCCCTCCCTTCCCCCCCGTACCTACCTTTTTTGAGGTCTTCTAAGTTTCAGGGATGTTGGCCTTAAGGCCTGGCGCTTAAGCGCCAAACCTTTAACCCTAAACCCTCGGCACAGCACCAAATACACAGAAACTGTATGTGGTATCATTATGGAATTCCCAAGATATTTGTTTAAACAGCTGACAAACAGAGTTTGCGTGAATTAATCCAAAGCGCCTGGGAGGCCAAATGCTCAATTTACTTGAACCTCTGGGCCTTCCCACCCTGGTAAATGCTGTATCTCTCTCGCTCTCATCTGTAGTTTGTACAAATATAAGTGTGTGGTTATTGCCCCCCCCCCCCTTTTCCGGGGGGGGAAGGGTGGAAGCTGAACGGAAAAAGATGTTTCGGCTTCTATCTTCTATTTTCCGGGAGCAAGGCCTTTCCCCGGCAAATATAACAATGAAACCACTATGAGCATGTATCCATGTTTCCGGAACATCTGGTCTGCGTACTCAATCTTGGTTGGAGAGAGTTCTGTCACACAACAAACTGCTTACAAGTGTTCAGTTTGCTTATAAACAGAGGGGGGTGGGCACCAGGGGCGTCTTCCAACATAGCCAGGACCTCTGAACACCCTCCCACCCTCCTCTGCTCTGCTGCGCCCCCTGGTTGTTTAAGGGTTTTGCAGGGAATCTGCTCTAAGACCGTATCGGTTAAGGACTTTGGATTCTAAAGAGGAGCCTCGAAACCCTATAGGGTTAAGCAGTTGAGCCTAAATCCTTAACCTTCAAACCTACAAAATGAGTTGCTACGCAATTTGCGTACGCAATCTTGGTTGGAAAGGGTTCTTGTCACAACACATTGCTTGCAAGCCGAAATTTTGCTTGGAAACAAGGGGGGGGGGGGGGGACGGGGACCCCTGAACCCCGCCCCCACCCCTCCGCTTCCGCTCTGCTTCCGCTCCGGTGCTCCTTGGTTTTTTCAGGCTTATTCTCTAAAACCCTATGGGTTAAGAGTTTAGAGTCTTAAATAGCAGCTCTGACACCCTTCGGGTTAAGCAATTTAGCTTAAACCCTTAACCTTTAAACCCTATAGGGTTAAGGTTTAAAGGTTTACAGTAGGGTTAAAAATCTGAGGCATTTAAACCTAAGCTCATGGAGTTTAAGCCTTGGGGTTTAAGATTTAGGCATGTATAAACCCTTTAGGGTCAGAACCCTTAAAAACCCTACAAGGCTCTGAAATGTTCAAAGGGTTTAACCCCATAGGCGCTGAAGGTATACATGCAAAGACCTTAGGTTCGTAAACCATCAGGTTTTATCTCTAACACCCTGACGGGGTCAGCCCTCCAGGGTTTAAAGGTTTAGGTTTCAGGTTGAGGCATTACCTATTATAGGATTAGAGCCTTATTCCTAAACCAGAAACCTCGTAGGGTTATGCCTCCAAGAAATCACAAAAAACCTGTGTTTAGTATACTGTCAAGTACCATACCAGAGGATAAGAGTTTGCGATTTGCATGTCCAGAGGGCGAAGGTTTAAGATGCTGTTTGAATTCTTAATGCTTGATCTTGATGTTTCGTATTACATCCGAGTGGTTGAGGAGTCGAGGTAATAGTGTTGCAACACGCACATTCTGATTCATGCTGTGTATTGGCTTTTTGTGTTGAGTTGGTTCGTAATCTGCGTACTCAACAGGCAAAAAGCATGGAATTCGTAGGTACCGGGGCTACATATATGGGTTTGTGTTATTTTGGGGCGCTCAGGTTTAAGAATGGCACACGGGTTGCACACCCGCGAAACATACCCCGTAACATACCCCGAAACATACACCCGAAACATACCCCGTAACATACCCCCGAAATTGCAGGTAAAGTAGCTCCTGATGCCGCGAAACATACCCGAAACATGCCCCCGAAACATACCCGCGAAACATACCCCGACCCCAACACGTGTCACGCGCCTCCCCATTAAAATACAAACCCATATGCGTGTGTGTATATATGGGCGGACGTCAAAATACCATGTATGTAAAATATGATGGAAGTGCGATATGAAGTTCCGCTCTTGTTGGTTTATGTCTTCGCCACAAGGCGGCACCATGCGTATGTGCAGGTTTCAGGCTGGATAGCGCTAGCGTGGCGCTAGGTGTTCCTTTCCAAAGGCTAACATTTTAGGGTTTAGCGTGTAGGGTTTAGGGCTTAGAGCGATCCAGCTTCGGGAAGCTTAAGTAGTATAGGCGGCCTGCGGCTTAGGTAAGACTGTGGAACATTGGGTTACACACCCTGAACCCTACACCCTAAACCCTGTGGTTGCATGCTGCCGGCGTGCCAAAATTCAAAAGTCATGCGGCGAAATATGCGCTTGGTTGGCGCCAGCATCGCGCTAGCAAATATGAAGGGAAACTGCTTGCGGTGGCCACTTGCCCATCCAAGACATAAAGCAGTACTAAGACAGCTGATTTGAAACATGGCCAACCTGGAGGAGCAAAGCACTACGAGCTCGAGCTCAAGTAGCTCCAGTAGTTCCGAAGACGATGCCTGAGTCTTAAAATGACGGCGCTAGTGTGTTTTGCGAGACTTTTGCCTAGGGAGCAAGAATTAGTACTACACTTCTGTACTTGCCAAAGCCATCGTTCCAGACCTTCGTTTTCCTTCTCGTCATAAGGCGGCACCATGATTTCCGCCGTTCCTGGAAGAAGGAATATTGACAGCCACCCATATATAGAGTGCGTATGTTTGTATATTGCTATATTGTTATTTCATTAGCTTATAATTTATCATAGTCTTCGTTTGATAAATATTTCAATATCTTCTACTATTAATATTGTTGCATAATAGTATTATGCCATTTTCTCATCATATGTTATGTCATTATATGTTGTCATAAGATTACCAGAGTATGTTATCATATTATGATATTATGATATTATCAGTGTATTATGTTAATTTCTCAGTAGATTCTTCAATATGGCATTTGTATATTTATATATTCTCAGATCATGCTAGGAGAATGTTGTTTTTGCAGTCCGCACAGAAGGCCAAATCTGCGTGCGCCACTGACCGTCGTCGCGCGGCCTGCAATTCCGGCAGCTTGGCGACCAACAGCCATATGGTTTACAAGCGCCCCCCCACAGAACCGCTAAAGCCCAAACCGTATAAACCCTAACTATCAACTCAGCTCCTGAGGCAGCCTATCGTCCTATGGTGGCAACCACCCGGCTGAGGTCTAAGCTGCCTTCAATTTCAAAGTGTGTATAGGATTTAGGAAAGGTCTACTGGGTCTATGGGGTTCATAAGAGGTTTCAGGGAAACGGAAAGGCAAAAACGAGTCACGCCGAGCCGAGGCCAGTCGTGCCAGTTGTGCGCCCTGCCGCAGCCTTGGGGGTTTAAGGGTTTGTAGGGTTCAGGGTTTAGGGTTCAGGGTGCTCCCTCAAAAGGTCCCGGGGAGGGTCTCCAACCGGGCAGTCGTAGGCTGCATCATCTTCGGCTCGTCATCTGCATGGCAACTTGAAGTGGACCGTCAACCTCGAACAACGGCCAACAGATCCTTGCACCAAAGGTCAACGCATACCGACCTCCTCTCGGTGTCGTTGCGAGGTGCCCAACCAAGGAACAATGAGAGCTAAGGAAGATTCCCTAAAGGGGATTTGGAGTCGGTGGGGTACTGCTATACGGACTTCTTTGCTTGTGCGTTTAGGGTTCATAGGGTTGAACCCTGTACCTCAGCCTCTGCACCCAAAGCTCGAGGCCTTGAAGCCCTTTAGAGAGTAACAGCAATGCGTCGGTCCGGTTTGCAATCTTATGACGTTACCGGGCTTTACAGTGAATGTCAAGAGCACCCTGGTCTTCCTCAAGCGCTCCGACTTGCCAAGCATGAAATCCAGAAAATGTCCGGTGCCAGAAGAACGAGCCTGAAACGAGCACTCAACACTTGCAGGCGGTGACAGAGAAGCTGCTGTAGCCATTGGAAGTGACGCTTTTGTCCTTTCAGCTGCAGCAACTGGACAATGGCCGACGCGTGAGGATACCCAGAAGAAGAAAAAGGTTGCTTGCCATTCGGACGTCTGCGTGCATGCGCATTTTGGGTGCAT